GAACTTAGGGATAATGCTTTGAAAACTTCAGATTATGCTAAACATGAAAAGATATAAATTTATGTGGTTAGAATCTTTTTTCTTGTTTTTTTATTTATTTCAATGATATACATTCTGATGATATTCGCCGCCTATAACGAAAAAACCGCAAAAAAACCAAAATTACAATCGAGATTAGAATCATGCTTCTACAAAACCGCGTTGGCTTTTTACAAAGTTGTAAAATAATTGGTGAATAATAGAATAGAAACTTTAATTTATTTGGTAAACTCTTGAATTTCAGACCAATTGATGAATTCTGTAATTTTGTTCTAGACGTACAAAACCGTCAGTGAATGGAAACTTTTAGAAAAAATACCGAAAATGGTTGGAAATCATTGGAAAAATAAATTTTGTGCTAAAACAATAATCGTCGGAGCAGCTTCTACACTTTTTGAGAACAAAACAGAATGGGCATTATCTAAAAAACCGTCTCCCGGCATACGGGCTCTTTTCTAGACCAGCTCAATCAATCATGTAAATTGCCTATTCATTGTTTATTGTCTTTGCAGATGAAAGCACACATTGATGACCGGTAAGCTTTCGGCGGAATCGAGTGGAAGAGACCATAATTTGACAGGGGAAGTGCCATACGCGTACCACCAACAACACCAACACCCAAATGAGCCGCTCAATAATTAGCAAACATAACCATTCAGTCCAGTTGGTGGGAAAAAGTGGAGGAAGAGGAAACGAACAGAGGTTTAACCTCTAAATATGTTGATTAGTGCACGGAGGGCGGGAATGTGACCGAAGACATCTTCTAACTCTAATTGACGCTTTCGCAGGAGAAGAATGTATGTGATGGTGTGGGCCAAACAATTAGCAGTTGTGTGGAAAAAAAGAAAAGAATCAACACGACGTCTCACGGTGTGCATGTCTATAATATTATGATGGTTGATTGATGGATATTCTTCTTTTTGAATAAAGAATCCGAACAACCTATTGATGCCAACGGACAAGCTCAGAACATCTTAATCTTCCTGATCATACAGTTGGACAAGATAATTTGAATTGTTTAGAAGCATGATTGTACGATCATAAATATTCTACCCATAAAATTGTAAGTCATTCCAGTTACAAATAAGAACAGAATGGTCCAAATAAAATTTACATGCAAATTGGTGGTATTAGAAAGGACACACATGCATATACAAAGATTAAATATGCAAATTGGAAGAGGAGAGAAAGAAAATCTGATGAAAAATAAAAGCATCTCTCTTATATCTTACGAATGATCAGAAAACATCTTCCATTAGGCTTACGTAATCCGATGTTCAAAATTAGGCGATACATATTTATGACGTTAATTAAGATTGTAACTCAAAAGAACCGCCGGGGCCGGATCAGAATATTTGGAAGATAGCATCCGCGAAAAGATTATATCATTATGAGTATAAGGATTGTAATAGTTGTGATTGATGTTCAGGCAATCATTCAAAAATAGCAATGTTATACTTAAAGGTTAAATAAAACAGAAAGGTTTATGGATGTGTTTGCTAAGGTTACAGCAGAAAAAACTGGTAAATGAATGATGCGGTCGGTGCCGAGACATCGTTAGTGTAAAGACTTCTGATGATAGGATAAAGAAAAAAGAGGACCAACAGAAAAGAAAAACGAGCAGATGACTAATGATTAGGAACCTCCCGCGCGGGAAAGGGTCAAATGGTGCGATCGCCATATGGTCGGAAAAAAGAAGGAGGATGAGAACAGGCCGAGGTATAGATGCGAGTGTGGGATATATATGCAAAGCTGACCGTATATGAAGGGTACTAGAGGTCGAAAATGCGGACTACTACAAGCGAAAGAATGTGTGCGGATGAGTCGTTTTACAGTCAGTGTATAATGGACAGATTGGGGCGCGAGGGTTTGTGGAATAGAACGAATCCGAATGGTGATCCGTTTTTGTATTCGTTTTCTCAAAAGCGGATTGAGACATGTTCGTTTTGTGGCGAACGGGTAGGATATTCGCCAATTCGCACACCGGAGGGCGACGACTCGTTTTCTCGACGACGACGATCGTCCGAATTTTGATTGAAGCTTTCACGGGCATTCTCCTATTCAAAATCCGGTGAAAACTGGCAACGAACTGAGAACTGGTCATTTACTTTCGTCTCACGTTGAATTTCTCATTCTTCTCGCTTCCAAACTTCTCAAAGAACGTCTTTGAAAACTAACGCCAAGAAACAACACCTAATAATGGGGTCCTCAAAAATATATAGGGCGTTCACTCAACCATATGATATTAGTGGAAACGAACATCAAGACGAATGGAGGACGAACGAAAAAAAAATATACGCCCCGCTAAAGGAAATTGAGTGAATCCACAATCGATAATGTGATAAGAATGTCAGAATATAACGATCGTTTTTGTTGCCTATAGCTTTGTATGTCCTAATGATATGAAAAAAACTGGAGTCTCAGATGATGACGATCATGTTTTTTCCTAGGAAAAAAAAGAGGAAAGGATAAAGAAGAAGAACGACTTGATTAGAAACATTCAGATTGAAATATGACTTGACGTCCTTTCCATTAACTGATGAAGCAGGTCCTTGTCTTTGAATGATGTTCTACCTTTTGACCGGGCCCGATTATGAGTCACACATGGACGGTTGGCAAACAAAGGTGAACAAAAAAGCAGGTTCAGCAGTGTTCGCAAAGAACTCAGTGTGTTTGACCTGTGAGCTGTTTTGAGTGGTCTAAACTTGAGAGGAAACGTCATTTTTTGAAGTTCGAACAATCTAGGCTTGTTGATTTTATTCATTCATTGAAAATTATCAAGTTGAAACAGTTTATACAATGGTTCAAAGTTTTCATTGTGATACAGAATTCTGAAAATACAATAATCAGGAAACACGATGAATCTGTAATTTGAGACTCGAAAAATTAATTTCATTAAGATACCGTAAGCACTGGCCACCCTATGCTTGAGTCTTAGCTGAATTATCTCAATTTCTATAAAAGATATCGAAAATGTGTATTAGAGAAAATTCGGTATGGTCTATAATTGCTAGATTACGAGAAAATCAACGGAACTATTTTTATATTTTCAACATAAAAATTCAAATCAAAATATTGGACAACAGTTATAAAAAGTCGGAATACTCGGAGCATTTCACCGATTTTCACTTTAAAAAATCCAAAAGGTGTAAGAAGACTAATGATGAAATACGAGAAGGTACGAGAAAAAAGAAGAAAAAAACGGCGTGTGCGGAAGTACTAGTTGCAAATTGAAGCGGAAAAGTAGGTCGTCTTCGTCTGACGCGTTCTAACCATCTACCCACATCCCCTGTTTGCACTTAAAACGATGTGAAAAGGTTGGAAAACGGAAAAGAAGTTGCATAATACTGTACGAGGAGAAAGTTGGAGATAAGGAAAAGAGAAAAGCTCTTAGAGAGGAACAGATTTGATTAGCGAATTAGGCAATCAGTAGACCGAAAAGCATGAAAGGAGACAGAAGGATTGACTGGGTGGTAGAACAAAAAAAGCTGAGTGAGATGCAACTTAAAAAGAGACAAAGACCGAAAAAAAAGTGAAGATGATGGGATCAGATGAATTAGGAGTGTTGGTGCTACGATCTCCGAGTGAGAGAGACGACAAGCTGAGCAAGATAATTGAAGCACGGAGACGCCGGGGTTGTGCAAACAGGCATTTTGGATAGATAAGCGGTGTAGGTGATGACCTCCCATCTTTCTGTCTCTCACACTCCATAAAAGACCTGGGGAGCTTTTTGTCTGAGACCGCGCGGAAGAAAATTTAGCGAGAAAGCGGCTTGATATGGAATCAAACACTCGTGTGGTGGTGCGGGCGCGTTTCAAAAACTCTGTCGCCATCCGATCGACTTATTCTCTCGCGATTTTCTGAAGTACGGTTTTTATTTTAGGGACAGAGTGGAAATCGAACCGTCGGAAATGCGAAGAAGTGACTGCGAGCAAGGCCGTTCGGTGGAATGGAATTACTTAGTTCTCATAGTAATCGAAGAACACAAGTAGTTTGCGAAAAAAAAACCCGAAGAATCGGTTCGGTGTATAATTCCATACCTAGCAGAAAAATTGTTAAACGAAGATCGAAAGTTTCATAGAACATTTTAAAAATACTAAGAAAATTCCAAATTCAGTCAATGTAAGGTCCTCGACGAGTTGAACTTGCAAGGTTGGAGGATACCATCTGAGCTACGCAGTCTCAACCCACGTCGATAGATAACCTCTATGAAACACGATAGCCACATAGAAAAAAACGAAAAACGTGAATACCGATGACTAAACACTGTCTCAATAAAATTAATATTTTAAAAATCCAGTAAATTACCGAATCCTTTTTTTAACCGTAAGAGCAATTCAGTTTAACTAATTGATTATTTTTCAACACTAAAAATTACTTTCTAATACTTTTTTGAATTTCAGTAAACTTATCATTACTCAAGATTTCAATATTCAGATATTTATTTACAAAGAGTATAAGATTTAGTTTGATGTTTTTGATCCGAAAAATATAGATTTTGAAGATTTAAATCTATTTTTCAAATTTAATTCCTAGTCAATTAGAAAAATGCGCACTTTTAGCTCATTAACAACACCTTTTTGTGATAAAAAGTTTCATTGAAGGAGTTGTACTCTGTTATGTTTTTCATAAACTGAAGGTATGCTCATATGTCAAGACAGATATACAGAGTACAGGAAGTGTGATCATTGTGGTCCTCTGATCTCTCAACGGATATAATGTTGTATTCAATACTTGCTGAATCAGTCATTTATTTCACAAGACTGGCCGCTTCCGTTTTGGACCACACGAGCTGGACCGCACTCCTCAGTGGACCACATAATCACCGGAACTTATTTGTCACAAATCCATAGGTGCATGACACACAATACATTCAGGGGAGGAGTCCGAGAAAGGAGCTCTATTCATTTTTTTTGTTTCTCAATATTAGTCACATTCTCTTCGGACAGAAGTTTCTAGACATGCTGCATACTGTGAGTTCTTTTTTGTGAATTGAAATGAAACTGATAGCAAATCTTATTTTTCCAGCCCCAGTTATCATGTGAAGAGAATCTTCTAGAATGCATGCTGGAACTAACCAAAAAGGATGCTTGTTATAGTTGGGGAGACACAATACAAGGGAAATTGAATCTGAAAATCTCCGATGGTTCTATTGAGATCACATCTCTACGCATCTTATTTCACGGTTATGGCAAAATTCATTGCAAGGGAAAGGTGTAAATTTTATCTTTTGTTTTTAAATTTTTTTCATTTCCAGAAAGATGAGCTTCTACAGGAAAACATGACTTACATGAAAAAATACTCGAATGTCATTTCACATCCGCTGATAATTTCCCAGCCAGAGTATTCCATTTCTATTGAAGTAGTTAGAAAAAGATCCTTAAATCGTATAGTCTTATGTTCAGGAAACGCTTCCGGACCAGCTCCCAACATCTGTTTACAGCTCGAAAGGGCATATTCAATATGTGATTCAATGCACAATGGAGTATCGTTCAGCAGGTAATAGTTATTATGATCTATGTCTACCATCATAATTATTTATATAGCTGGAACACCTAATCTAGTAAAAGCGGTTCGTGGGATTACTGTAGTTGAGTCTCTGGACCTCAACAAAATATCCAAGACGTGGTTCGAACCAAAGACCGAGTTCGAGCAGCGGAAGTTCGGCTGGTTTGCTTGCACGGGCGGCCATATCAGACTTCACCTGACCTTTGAGAGAAGCGCATTTGTTTGTGGCGAGGCAATCCCGTTTATTGGTATTAATGCATCCTTTTCTTTGTCTCGATCTGTGTGGTCTCTGGTTCTTACAGGCAAGATTGAAAACAAGAGTGATCGAAGAATCGAGAAGGTATCGGTTTGTCTGATGAGAAACACCCGATTTGGCAATGATGTCGAGGAGGATGTGGAGGTGAGAAAATTTCGAAAGAGTGTGTTTATTAGCCTTAAGGGCTGATGGGCAATTTTCGAAATTCAATGTGTACCCAAAACTTTTGGGCCTAATTTTCAGAACGCCACAGTTGACAATCATTTGATTCAAGAAGACTTGATGGCCATGTACATTGAGGAAGGTTGCGTCAACAAAATTGACAAGAAAGTTCACATTCCGTGCACAGCCCCATCGACACCGCTTCCGATTCTTTTCCGCTCTGGACAGCTGGACGGAAACAAGTTCCAACTTCGGCGCAAATCGCAACTTGGCAGATTATCTCTTACAAGCCAAAAGTCACGACAGTCAATATCCTCGTCATCAAACATGCAAAGAATTCTAGCGATCACATATACATTTGCCATCAAAGTAAGATCGAATGGAATGGACGTGATTGATTTGAGTATCCCGGTTGTTATCGGCACAGTGCCGTTGATTGATCACATGAATTCCGGGGATCTGTGAGTTGTTTGAGGGTCCAGCTAAAATAAAATTGTTTTCTAGAAATGACCCTTTGGACCGTCCAGTCTACAACTTGTGTCGTCAAGACAAGCCTATTCCATTGTTGGATGAAAAAGAAAGGAGCCTATGCAACAAAGCTCAAGTAAACAAATTTCAGGTGCAGTAAAAAACTGAAAATAACTATTTCAGCTCCAGCATGTAAACAAATATCCTTTCTTCCCGACGCTTCCAACATCTTCAAAACAGAGCAAAAAACTGTGTGTAATTGCTCAGACAATAAAAACAGAAAATCGGATCATGAACACAATTCGAGGTGCAGTGGAAGAAGAGAAATATTAATTTTTGTGTGTTTTTTTTGCTTTTGAATAAAGTAATAAATTGGCTTGATTTTCTGAAATAGTGATTTTTTGTGTTTGCATATTCGAAGCTCTCTATCAGGGATGTTTGGAACAAAATTCGGAATTCCAAAAATTCCAAAAATTTTGCCTGTTTCAAATGAAATTCGGACCGAAATATGTTGGTTTTTTTTAATTAGTGGTTTTTGGACAACGGTATGTCAAAGGCACACGTGGAAGATTTGCTTGCGAGTCTCAAGAAGAATGCGTTTTCTAAATCTGTTTATCACTATTTTTGCGCTTTGCTGATCGGAAAATAGAATTTCTACTCTGAAATTTGAATACTTAACAATTCCGTAGATTCCTAAATTCCGAAAATCCGAACTTTTGGAATTATGGAATTTCTGATTTGTTAAACTTATTTGGACCATTTTATCCTTTTTTGGTGAATAACTATTTTTTGAAACCCATTTTGTAAAAATGAGCGAGTTCTAAAAATGTTTTTGAAGAAACCAGAATTTTTCAATAAATGTTCTATTCAAGTATTTTTTATATTTTCCTTTATATTTGTAAAACCCCAAGATTTTGCTTGTTCGTAGCATTCTCATCGTGTTCTCTGAAAAAATCATCAGGTTTTGTACCCGCCACTCTCAAAAATCTCCATTCTCAAGAATGCAATTTCATTCTCGTGACTACATCTAATTCAATTCGCGGCTGAAAACAAATTGTATCCGTTGGCAACGAACGAACGCGCCTCCCTCTTTTCCTCCGAAAACGTAAGCAGATGGCAGTTGTGTGTAAAAGATCGTGGCGGTGTTTACACCATTCCTTACGTTTTGCGTATTCTCAACACATACTCACCCTCTTAACCACATCATTTTTGACGAAAATGAAGCGTCGTGGGTGGCAAATGTTTGTATTCTTGCTATTTATCGGATTTATTTATGCCAAGATTCCCAAGGAGTACGAAGAAGTTGGTAAGTGTTCATCTTAATGAGGGAAACCGTTCAAATAATGAAAAAAAAATGCAGAAGATCACAACAACATACTCTTCACAGTCACCGAGCCGTACATGTTGGCATATACGTATCAAATGAAACACGCGTTCATGCTTGGAACTCATTTTCCTGATGGAATCAACAAAACAATGAAGGTTAGTGTTCAAATTCTGAATGAATTTTGATTACGGAGTCGTGATACATGCTCAGCATGGAAAAAAGTCAATAAATGGTGACTAATCTGTCATCATTCTGGTACTCCGTATAAAAATAAAAAGAAAATTTGATTCGATTTGAAAAATATGAACTGTAAAGTATATTTTCTTTATTACAGCACATGGATATGGTTCTTGCTGATCCCATCAACGGATGCGACACACTTCGTAACATCATCTTCGTTCCAACAGTGATTCTCATGGAAAGAGGGTATGTTTTCTTATCTAAAATTCAACCTGTGAATAATTAAACCTTTTCAGAGGTTGCTCGTTCACGGAAAAAGCAATTCACGGACAAAAAGCAGGCGCTTCTGTTGTTATGGTCACAGATTCAGAGAACATAGGTAGTGTCTTACTAAATGCCGATATTTAGGAGATTGATTTTTTAGAATACGGACCTCAGCAGTACTACGTCAACATGATTCCTGATGAGTCGTTGGATCGAGCTGATATTCCTTGCGTTTTTGTTGCTTCGATAACGGGGTAAGTATTTATGAAACTCGTTGGATTTGAAATGCAATTGAATTCGCTCCGACGAATTAGTTATTGGCTAGAACTGAAATTTAGATAGTAGATTTAGTGCAAAATTAACAAAAGAAAAACAATGAAACTCATGAAATTCTTTCTGGTCAACTGAGTGTATGGAAAAATTCTGAATATTTTTCTTTTTTTTTCGGCCTGTTCAATAAGTCTTATGTTTTGTAAGCCTTTGAGAGTACTTCTGTCCGAACAGGAGAACATCATCCAATGAGCACAGCAAGAAACTTTGATGTTATGAGGGTAGAGTGTTTTCAGATTAACTTATTGAATAAACTCAAAAATTTTACCACAAGCATCTTCCTACTGAAATATTTCAAATAACATTCATTCGCTGTTGGAAAAAGTATGACAGATTTCGAATTTCAGACGCTACTTCCGTGATCATCTCGAAGAAGGTGGTTCTATCACTTTGGATTTGCCCGTCGAGAAGAACCATGCTCCATGGGTCCACCACCAGAAACGTGCTCCTTGGGAAAACTGGACCGAGGATAGACACTTCATTTAATTAATTTATGCTTCTCTCATTTGCCCATAATGTCACTTTCTCAACGAAATGTCATCGATTTTTGTGATTCCCAAAGTTTTTCCTACGGTTGTTATTTTTTCCTAGTTTTAATAATCTTCTCATTCCACTTTCTTCTTGGTTCTACTAGATTTTTTGGTTTCTTTTTTTTTGGTTGTTCAATTTTTACTAGAATTCTAAACCCACAGACACACATGCAACGGGTAATTTTTTTAATAGTGTCCTCTATTTTGCCACATTTTCATTTAAACGTGATGAATAAATGCTTCCATGTTTTTTTTGCTTACTGAAAAAATAGGGAACACCGGTGTCCTATGCGCCTCTTCACTATTTGTTATTTGTTGAAAGCGGTACGGTCTGTAGAGCACTAGAGAAAGTTTTTCGAATTCTTTCAGCAAACAAAACCCAGACCTACCAACCGTCCTTTCTCTTCCCTTTTCCTCCTAATGTTTTATATATCCACCTGGACAATAGGAAGAGTTTGAAAAATCAAAACATGAAATCATTTGTCTGGTTTCTCGGGTCATTCTAATCCGAAATTTCGGATTTTCGATTCTCAATAATCAGGAGTTTGGTGTCAATAAACTTTTTTTCATAATAAAATTTGTTCCTTCTCCAGAAAACTCCTCAACAGCATTCAATTACGTTTCGCTTGTTAAAGTTTTTTTTTTTCATTCTTGAATTTGCGACAATTCAGTTCCTGTTCTACGCCCCATTCATTATTGTTCAAACAGCGAGGTCAAGCCAATTTCTTCGCCTTTCTCACTAAAAAAACATTCGACAATATTTTTGCCTTTCAAATTTTACTACCTAGGTTTACTATGCTACTTTGTAACTGAGTACGTATTTCTTATCAGTATCGTAAAACGTTTTTTTAATCGCAACGTCGTTTGGCTTGCAATTCTCCCGTCCATTGTTCCTGCGCTACTTTTCACGCTATTGATCGTCCTTGACATTTTTTTTTGCTGTTTAGGTTCATTGTAATTTTCGTCGAATTCCCCTTGTCGAAAAGTTTTGGCACGCGATCCATTTTGAATTCAGGTGTCACTGCATAGCGTCTCTTCAACCAACAGTACTATCTCTATCGTTTGCGCATCTCTTCCTCTTATTGTTTCTCTATTCATATTTTGCATTTTATTCCGCGTTTCACTTGGAACAACACATATTACATTTATATACACTTTTCACTGTGTTCGTGTTTCCATTTCATTCTTCTCATTCTAGTTTTATTTTTACAGGTTGAATGCCGGAAAGAAGAGTATTCGTAATCCGACACGGTGAGCGGTGTGATTTTGCATTCGGAAAGTCTGGGCTTTGGATCAACTCGTTTGATAGTAAAGGAAGGTAAAAGAGATCAGAAAAATGAAGAACAAAGAAAAACGTTTTTTTTTATTGCAGATACCGTCCATTGGACATTAATCTTCCACGTACGCTTCCGAAACGTCCAGATGGATGGCAAGGGTTTGCAGCAGACACACCATTGACGGAAATTGGTTATCTTCAGTCTAAATTGACAGGTAGGGGAGGAAAAAAAATTCTCTAAAGAATCCTAACAAATTCAAAATTTTGCTCTGGTGCCCTCTGGTTATAGCTGAAAATTTAGAATTCTGCCGTTAGTTGGAAAAGAAATATGCCTGTTTCAGTGAAACTCCGAAATTTCAGTATAAAAGTGCAAAGAGGTTCTTTATCTAAATTTTGTAGTGTGAAACAAACAGTCTTATGAAATTCATCATTTGAGGCATTTTCGAAGGAAACTCGTTTTTTAAAAATCATTTTTAAAAAGTCGATTAGAAAAGTTATATTTTTCGTCGGCGGCAATGGAATTATTAGCTCTTACAGATATTTTATGCAGATGTTTGCTTCGAAAATTTTAAAAACAAAGTCAGTTTTGAACATATTGACGGAAGTTGTATCAATGTCTGAGATTATTTAAAAATGACGGAAAAATCTGCAGAAAACACCCGCGAAAAACTTTGCAGATTTCACGGATACAGTTTTATGGTGTTCCGTTGAATTTACAAACTGCAGAACAACTAGTGAAATCTGTGAAATCCCCAAAATCCGTAAACGGGAAATCCCAGCTCTGTTTCTGTGAGAAGTGTCAAGAAAAGTTCAACCCGCTTAATATTTTTGATATTTTCGTAATTATTGTGTTTGTAAACCAAATCTTGATTTCTCTCCCCGAAACCGGCATGGATTGTCATGAAGATGACGGTTAGAGAGTTTTCCAGTATTGATGTCTGTATCTTACCAAAGTAAATGTAACTAGTTTTAGGAATGCCCACTCAGGTCGCTTCTGAAATTTTTTCAAATTTTCATCAGTTAGATTATTAAAATAACTTCAAATTAACTCTTCTCCCGTTACCTAATCTCCTGTTACCCATTTTCAGGACGTGCTCTACGTGACAACGGCATTGAAATCAACCATGTTCTTTGTTCTCCAGCTCTCCGGTGTATCCAAACAACAGTTGGCCTTTTGAAAGGAATGGGTACGTGTCATGTTTCGAAATGTTCCAGTGACAACTGTCATCACTTGAAATAACTTCTGTCTTTCAGGACTCGATAAACGTCTTCAGTTTTCTGTTGAGCCAGGATTATATGAATGGATGGTGTGGGCCAGATATGCAAGACCATGTTGGATTCCACCAAAGGATTTGAATAAATTAGGATACCCAGTCAGAGAAGACTATGTACCGTGCTGGACAGATAAGGAACTGAAAATGAGTGAGAGTATGGTAGATTACTATCAAAGATCTTTTGGTTCTATGAACAAGATACTCGCCGAATTTCCAGAAGGTGAGCGATCAAAAAGTGGTGTATTATGTTTAGTCAAATTCGTGTTTTTGTTGATATATGACATATGAATCAAAGGATTCTCAGAAGGAAATTGAAAAACATAAAAATATGATTTATCACTAGGACAATCCCCGTGTTAAAAACAAGAAAAAAACAAAAGAATCTTCTAGTGATGTGATGTCTTGTCATGACATGACATGTCATAAAATAAAACGACATTGTTTCAGGTAACATTCTAATTGTGGCTCATGGCGCTTCACTCGAAACGTGCACACGTCAGTTGGTCGGCGGTGATATCAGGTCAACAGACGACTTCTACTATCTACTTCAAAACACGCCATACTTGTCGTGCGTTGAGTTGAGTTCTCGCGAAGGCTTATGGAGACTAGTGGGCAGCCCGATTCCGTCGTTTTCGCACACTTACAATCGTACTTTTGATCCATTGCAACTGGTTACAAAGGATTTGGCCGGGTTGAAACGCGAGAGGGAGAGCAAGGATAATATGCGGACAACTCAATAATGGATGAGATGGGAAAAATTGAATTGGTAGCACATTTATGTCTCGGTGATTCTTTTTTGAGTTCTGGAGTATTATCACTGTGTTTCAGTCTTCTTTTTCAGTTTCATAGATATCAATGATCTCTTGTTGTTCTATATAAATACTTTATTGATATAATATAATAAATTCTTGGAATTCAATAAAAGTAATTTTGAAACCATTTTTTCATTGTACCCGAAATTTTGTTTTTTTTTCTTATTTGAAAAAGTATATAGAAGTTTCTCAGATAATTCTACACGATGAGATATGAAACAATAGTTTAGGTTAAAAGTAATTTTTAACAAATTTGTTGGCTCCAACCAATCGCTTTGTCATAGAACTGCGTAGGTGTACAACGTTGAGTGGTGTCGAGTTGAAGAAGCGATTGAATGATTCCGGACACCTCTTGACTCAATTCGACGGGCAACTCGGGCGGATCGTAGGCGTCAAAATTGGCGCCCGCCGTATAGAGGAAGAGCTTGCACAGGCTGCACTCGTCGAATGGGACCTGGAAAATATATGAGGTTATCTACGCCACATCCACTTGAACTAGAGCGCGCTCCCTAGGGAGCAATGGAACATTTATGAAAATAAAAGAACAAGAAGAATGAAAGATCTAACCTCTCCAGTTACGCATTGATATAGAAGACATCCGATGCTCCACATATCAACTTTAGAATCGTATTGGCAAGTCTTCAGAAGATTTGCTCCGACTTCTGGAGCCATGTAGTAAAAGGTACCAGCCACATTGCAGAGCTCTTCACTCTCATCGTCCAAAGTTCTGGCGATCCCTAAAAAAAGTGGATTGCATTTTGCAACAGAGACAAACACAGATTTAGCCGCCTCAGGCTATTTAAAACACATTTCGAAAACACAAAACATACCAAAGTCAGTAATACGAGCGCAGGCAATTTGTTTCGATGCATCCGTATAAGTGATCAAAATGTTTTGTGGTTTGATGTCTCGATGAACAATTTTCAGCTCATAAAGTGCTTTGTATCCTCGAGCGATGTTATCCATGAGAAGTCTGAAAAGCTCGAGAGATGAGTGATTTCTGGTTTTCAGAAATATCTTTCGGGAGACGGAAACTAGAACTTTTTTGAACAACTTCTTTATTCTTTCTTCCCGAAGAATCAAAACATGTTTACTACCACCACCCACAATTCCAAGCTTATCCCAATCTCTTATGCAAAGAATCTTAAACAGCCTATAGACTTGCCTGAAATTCGATTGATTCAATCTCCCTTTCTCGGAAATGTTTCGCATATGGTGGTCTAGATCACAATCGCAAAGTTCCATAATAAGACAACAGAAGAAGTCGTCATAATTGCAAATGTCTAGTACGCCAACCAAATACTCCGAGTGGAGTTCTTTAATTAACTTCAACTCGCTCTCTTTTACGTGTACTTTGAGCATTCGTTTGATTGCAACCTGAAACGATGGGATTTCAGTCACACGACCAAAAACGGAAATGGTGTCAAATTTCCATACCGGATCGGTGGAATCTTTCACGTTTCCCTTGAAAACTGCACCAAATGCACCCATGCCGATCATCGAGTCCAAGGAATCATTATATTCGTATTTATCCTCCAATTTTATCAATTTATTTGAAAAGTCTGGCATTAAAAATGCACTAGCTGTTGAGGAGCGATGAGATGCACAGTGAATAACCATCTGGAAAAAAGGAATATTCTAGAATAGCTAGAAAAACTGTATCTATGTTTTGTTGGAGTCTATTGTGTGGTGCAAAAAGAATACACGTCATGGAATCCAATTAATCACAGAGAATAAGAGAATAACGGAAAAAATGAAATTATTGAAAAGAAAAGAGATGCAAGTGACAGGACGGAAGAAGAATGTCTTGTGTGCCCAGAATGAAATTTTTTGGAGAAGAATGAGAATTCGGTTTCTAGGAATTCCCTTTGTGAAAAAAGAAAGGCTACTTACGAATTGAAAAGTAGGGTTTATGACAGAAAGGAAGCATAAAGAAAATTAAATAAATGGGTCAGTATTTTGGGCTTGGCATTACTGGATAGAACGTGAGTTATCCTTCGTCAAAAAAATTCTTGCCCTCCCCAGAGGATCGTCTATCGTCACACTCATGAAAAATGCACAAGTTTTCTGTGGAAATTCAGAAACTAATTTCAAATCCCCTACCAGAAACTTCCGCCTTTTTCTTACTATCGTTATGTTTCTCTAGGAGGAAGAAACCAAAATTTGAGTGGTGCAACTCACTGAAAAAAGTAAACATAAATGAGGTCAGCTTAACGTTTATAAATAAAGCAAAGGCAGTAGAGACGAAAAATACAACTGGGACAAAATGTTTGCTTCTCGGGAAGAGGAGGACCGAAGAAAAGAAAGCAAAAGCACCGAAAGAATACGTCATTCTTGAAAATCGAGCAGAGGGAGGTGCCGCCGTAAGGACTGCCTAAAAACAATAGTAAGTATGAGTGTATGTCAACGAAAATGGAGTATGTGTGTCAATTGTTCTTTTCTTTTTTGCAAAAACTAGAAAACATGAAAAAAAAACCTGAACCCAGTCTTTGGGTTTCAAGTGTTTTTCCATTTCCCCATCATCAACTGAGACAAGGAAGTGGTCCCGAGGAAAAAAAGAAATTCAAGGATTAATGGCGCAGGAGAGTATGGAGAAAACAAAAAAAAGCAAAACAAAAGAGATTCGGTCATCTGGAAATCCCTTATCGAGTAAATTGACAAAAAAGACAAAAAAATGGGGAAAAAGAAATAGAAGTAAGAAGAAGAAGTCTATTCCGGGCGAAATCGAGTAATAGAGTATATCCTGGGTGCCTCTGAGAATTTGAAAAAAACTGAGTTACGCAAAAAAGGCTAAAGAGCAATTTTAGTGGACTGACTGAGCTTCTGAGCCGCATGGGGAAAGCGAAAGATAAATAAATATATGAATGACTGATGATGTGAAAATACGGAAGCCATTATAGTGTATCTCCCGAAATTTCTGGATCCATATCCACGCCCATTAGAACAAAATCCAACTGACTCATGGTCTTTCACGACTAACAACCTCAGAGCATCTGGATAGAGCATTTCATCTGAACAGATGATCAGAACTTATGTGTGATGATATGGGAGTGAAGAGCAATCGAGAAGCAAGAAAAAATTGTGTCTCTTTTCTCCGCCCTTTCAACATTCACCCCCTCGATTCTCACTTTGAGCTGTGACGTAGTGAGAGCGGTCTGGGTCTACACTCTGCTGACGACCGGCGACCCCATCTCTTCTTCTTTCTTTTTCGTTGAGCTTTTTTTCTTCGTTTTTTATTCAATTCATTTTCATTTTATTGCTGTTTCGGCTGCTCTTTTCTTCAAAGTGTCGCTCGAGAAATTTGCGAAGGAAAAGGAAAATTCTCTTTTCTTTGAACTCACAGCAATTTTTTAGGACTAAAGACTGGGCTCCTTCTCCGGATAGGAAGTAAAAGTGAAATTGGAAGAAGACGTGACAGAATGCAGAGTTTCTTGGGAGCAGGAAATGAAAAAAAAATACGAAGTGGGGTCAAACTTTTCTTGGTTCAAAACACAGTTGACTTATGGATTTTTTTTTCGGGAATTTTTAGGAATATTTTTTCCGTAGAAATAAAATGATGTCACGAGATGAAACATGAATTTCAACGGAAAATAAGCATAGGAAAAATTGAAGATGGTAAATGAGAAAAACACGGAATCGAAAAAATTAGCGGAATTTTTTCTCTTGCGTTTCTCACGTCATTTTTCTAGAATATTCTTTCCCTAGAACTCATAGATCTAGAAAAAAAGGAAAGGACCAAGACATTTTCAGGGAATGCAAACCAGAGTCAGTGAACTGAACCAATTGTGAGAATTAGAGAATTCCCATTGGGCAACGTGGAGGCGAATATCTTTTTGGTCAACAAAGAGACACCTACGTAAACTTTTATAATTTTAGCAACAAACGGTGTGATGGAAATTTTTTGAAACATTTCTGAAAAAATGAAATTTCTTTCCATTTTTCTTGTTCTTCTGTTTCTTCAGAACACCCATGACCTTGATGTATCAAGTTTCAAAAAGAGCTTGTTGTAAAAAATATGAAGAAATTTTCTGATCTCTGAAATCAGTACCTTGTCCATTTCCACCCTCACAGCCTCGTCGTCATCATTGATGAGCAGCATCGAAGGAAGTTCAGCAGCCATTGAAAAATCTGAAAACTACATACATTTTCAGATACTATACGAAAATCTGAAATTGTGGTGAAAGAAAGAGATTTAAGTAGACAATTTTTTGAGTAGGAGGAGCAAAACATAGAACGAAAATACGGTTGAGACATGGCAAACAAGGAACTCAATTCCAAGGAACAGGTTATCACCAAAGCAGCTCGGGTAGGAAGAAAAATATATTTTGAGAGAAACAAAAAACCAAAGAATTGAAACGAAGAAGAGTGGAGCTCCATAAAGACCTACCACCTATGTAATTATAAATCGGGACCATGGGAAAGAGGAAAAGGTTATGATGTCATCCGAGGATAAAATTTGCCTAGAATGACTAACTCTACAAGGGAAAGAATATTTTTGAAAAATTTTGAAAACCTGAAGCCACACGAAAAGGTTCTTCTTTTCATTTTCCGAAAACGAAGTCCGATTCCGGATTTTTCAAAAACCTCTGTTTATCACGAACGCGCGTTTTTGAGCTTTGAATTTCTAATGCAAATCAATTACGTATCCCCAAGAAGACACTGTTGACAAGGAACTTTTTTGCTCCGTCGGATGTTTGAATGTGTGAGTAAATCAAAGAAAAAACAGAGTAAAAGACAATGGAGAATGAGAATAAAACTGGAGATGTGTTATTTGTGTGGTGCTCCACGGGATCCCTATTGTCCATGACTACTGAATGGCAGGAAGCAAAGAATGTTAAAGGTTGAAGTTTTCAGAACATGATCCAGTTTAGTTTAGTCAAGTTGTGTTTAGAACACTTCGACACGCTGAGCTATCTAATTTCAAAAAAAAACTGTGCCTCTCTTCTTTTCTCTTCCCGTCGTTTTTTTCTCATTTGTCAAGTCATAAACTTGGTTGAGAGAAATTGAAGAAATGGCTCTGAAGAGTGGAGGAAACCCCTCCCCCTTATCTGTAGTTTGAATATCCATTTGGAGCTCAAAATGATCCTGGAGAAGGGCATAATACAAGTCGGAATAAGGAACGAAAAGAAGAAGACGTATCAGTAAACGGAAAAACAGAACGGAAACGTTTTTTGTGCTGCATTTCTTTTGCTATCCCGTCTGAAAACTTGAGCCGACAAGCATTTGTAGTATTGAGAACACAAAGAATATGTCATGTCAAAGAAAAAAACAAGAACGAAAATGCTTAAAAGTGGTTTTAGTCCGGATTCTCCATTTCTCACTCCTCTCACACCATTGCCCAGAAAAAACTCTTGATAGCCGAGAAAATGGGATGTTCCAGGAAAAAAGCAAAACTAAGGAAGTAGATCGGATAGAAAAATAACTACGGAAGAGCTATACGACACGGAGAAGACTGACAAATTGGGTTACCGCCGTCAGCGAATCTGCTTCTGAACTAACTCGAATGGAGACCGAGAACTTTTTTCGAGAAGAAAAAAAACGATGAAGCAAATCGAAAAAAGATTCAAATAAAATTGATGAGAGTAAAGGAAACGAGGGCAGTTTTTGAATCAAGTAAAAAATATAGAGCTTCAAACGAATGGATAATAAGATTGATGTTTGAGAACTGCACTGGCACTCTCTCGTTATTCACTTTCAATTGGATGTTCTTCTTCTTCTTCTACTTGCCAATTGAGTCAAATTCATTTTGTAGGACAAGCAAAGAATCAGAGTTCACGCCTGATTTTTGATTTAGATGTGTAGATTTAGATTACGGTAGCAACTAGGTGGGTGTGAGTAGAATTGAATGGAGCCATTGAAGCGGAAAACAAGAAGGTTTGAAAATCTTCTGTTAGTTTCTTTCATACCAAAATTGGTAAGTTATTAAGAAACAATAGCTGATAAAGAACCAATTTGAAAATGATCTGAAATTGATAAATCAAACTACAAAACGGTTTTGTTTTATTGGAAAAAAACAATATGCAAAAGGATGCAACTTATTGTATTTTTTCTAATAGAACGCGACCCAAATACGAGAAATTTGACAATAATATTTAGAACCCTAAAAAAAGAAAAAAACTGTTTCAAAATGCATGTACTGAGGTAGCGTTCTCGGAACTACTGTAGATGGTACTTCCGTCTTAGAATAAATCATGTATTCCCTATGAGCGGTATGAAAACATGTCAACAAATAAATAGCTTAACATGACATCAATAACATTTTTCAATTTGCAATTTTTCGATATATGTATATTAATATATCATAGAAATCAAATCAATTGTGTTCAAAATACACGTGGAATTCGTGTTTTTATTAAGCAAATACAGTGGTTAAATTATAAAAAAGACGAAATGTTGAAAATATGACATAGAGTTTCAAATTTGACAGATTTTAAAATAATGAACTTTGCTTTTCAAAATACTACAAACATTTAAATTTAATAAAAAGTTCTTCATTAAGTTCTGACTGTTTCCAGAAATTCCAATACCCTAAAACATGTATGTAGTACACGGGTTTTTTAATTCTTAACTCTGAGCCAATTTTTTTCAGTTTCTGTCAAAGATTTAGAAACGTTATTTACTGTTAAATTGTTTTTTTAGGAAAATTTTATTCAAAATTAGTAATGTAGGACCTGTCCTATCACAAGGTTCTACAAAATATATATTCAAAAAAAAACATTTGCAGGGAACAGATTCATTTACAATATTTCACGTTTTGACATCCGGCTGAAAATTCTGAAGACAAATTTTGAATTGGTCTTGAAATTTTCAACACAATACTTTTTGTTTTTCTTCTCGATCATGTTTAAAAAATGATCTTCACAGTTTCAGACGTTTTTTAGAGAGTTCACTTCAGAAACTAAACTTTCCGGTTCTCGATACATCAAAATAATTATTCAATAATTGTTTTACAACAATCATAATTAGGCTCTTCCAAACATATCTCCTCTTCAAATTGAATGCACTGTACTATTCAATCCACAATCCACTTCACCTCATCATTACGGATTACCCAAGCGGATCTTGCGCAACGTCCTCACACCATTTGCAGTAAATCACCCGTCTTTGTATCTTTATATGTCTGCGTATCTCTTGGTGTACACACTCTCTCACACTGTCTGATGGGTCACCATATGCGGTGGTGAAGACGAGGGAGAGAAGTGCGTTCCCACTTCCGTCTTTTCTTTTTTAGGGTAGCTCTCACTCTTTTTTGCATCATCGATTTTTTACTGGCTTCTTCTAAAAACAAAACATTCGTTAGAAGAAAAAACACTCAAAGTGTGTTTTAAACCAATTTTGAGTGGTCAGAGAGCCGTGAAGAGCACACCTCAGCAAAGCGAGTGCATCTCATCTCCCTCATCCCATTCGTCAGTTGTTTTTTTTTTGCACTATTGGTTGCTGTTCTATTTATCAAGTGTCCACTCTTCAGCATTTCTCTCTCTCCTTCTCATCAAAATTTTGCTTTTTTCTCCTAGGGGCATTTTCATAAAGTAGCGCATCTATTGCATTTGTATAGCAGATGCTCGGGGCTTCTTTATTCGAATAGTACTCGTGAGGTCGGCGCGAAAGAGTTCGCCGCGCGGAGTCTTTCATACTTTCCTATTTGTTCAACTAGAAACATTTCCCAATTGTGAGAGGTTGGTTGATCATCTTTGCTGCTCCCTGCTGCACTTGTCAATTTGTTTATTGTGTTCGCTTAGAGATTCAATCTTGGCAAGAATTTGACAATTACTCTGGCTCTCTTCTTGAATAAATTAAGTTAGTAAGTGTTAGGTCCTTCTGGCTAGCACTCGAGTGCGTCCTAATAGAACTTGGTCAAAACCAGAAAATGAAAATGTGTTGCCCCTCCTGGTCGAACTTCAAAAACGCTTTTAAAAAAGTTGGAATCTCTGAAATTTTGTTTTTTTAATTACCGTGAAATTTTTTCCAAAAATGCACCGTGACTGTGAAAATTGAGCCAAACTTTTGCGGTTCCCTCGAGAGACGTGAAAATGATTAAATAATAGAGCATTCTTCATAATATCGACAAATATGACAGTAATTTTTGGAAATCTATCACAAGAAACAAGAAAAATTGAAAACATTTTCGGTCAAGTTTCCTTGTGTTTGCTGTCCCCCGTCAAATTTGAGCTCAATTATCTCAGTTCCTCTGAAATACATCAAAAATTTGCCAATTAATAAAATATTGGTTAAATTATGATAAATAAATTATCAGTTGCTGCGTTTTTGATGACTTGCACAGGAATTTGAGATAATTGAACTTAAACCTGAGAGTGTGAGGCCCTTCTTTTACTGTTTTTACGGTATATGAACTTCCGTTATATTTTTCTGTTAGAGAAGTAGAAAAATTCGTTCAAGTTGAATGTTTTGTTTTTGAATTGTTCACTGCCACATATTTATTCAATTATTTCCACAGATTCTTACATTAGTTTTAGAGAAAATTTAAACTTTTTCTGCTGCTTTTTTTCCAGCAAAGTTTAACTTACGCTGTATCGCCTTTTTTTATTTCAAAGAAAACTAGGTCAAAACAAGTTTGATGCATTTTTCTCACCCATCCTCGTTCACCTGTATCGCTTTCACTTCTTCTTCCCGCTCCAAATATTTACCATTTGAATAATCGTTTTCAGCTCTTGCACAAACAAATTCTATATAGTATTTCACACAATCAACCTTTCCTGTTTTCTTTTCTCCTCCTATGATACAGCTAAGCTCATTTCTCATTTCTCACTTCGAATTGTGTTGTCCTTGATGACAAGGTTCAAATTTCATGTATAGAATCGGCGTCTAGAGTGTTTCATTCTCCTCGAGTAGTACGGATACGGTCTTTCGATGCAATTATCATCAACGACCTTTCATAACTTTTTTTTGAGATCGACAGGTCGTTCCATCCTCAATTCATTTTTCTCTTTCCAAATGAACGACGTGTTCGTTGTGTCATTTTTTGCGCGTAACGTCCGATCATGGCATGACAACAAACAAAAGCAGGAGAAAGAGGCTCGGATTTTTCTCGCACCCGATTACATTACAAATCGCAGGGCGCCCCTCCGTCCATTGTTCGTTTTTTTGTTGGTGATGAATGGGAAATCCAAGGACAACCTTTACTACCTCGGAACAGGTAGAACAGGGATAGGGAAAAATCCCAAGTTGCGTCACACATACAAACACATACATACATCCTGAATATATCATTCATTCATATATCTTCAATTCATTCTTTCCTACACACGTATGTACATATCGATAATAGCAACTTCCGATTGCATACCATAAATTTCTGTCTCCTCTCCACATTTATGATTTCTAGAGGAAAATGAGATGCAATTATCACACGTTGCTTGCGTATCTTATCACTATCAGGTGTGCCGATGAAACAATTGATTTTTTTTCTGACTTCATTTTTTCACTTTCATTGTTTTTATTATCAGTGGGAGAAGTGTGATCGTGACGTAATCAATTTGAATTTTGGGAATTTGAATATTTGGCGGGAGACGTCCAGCTGTGAAGGAATCGCAAGGTCGTCTAGTTTCTGTCAACATTTGAATCCAGAAACTAAGCGGGCACTATAAAATGTATTTCTTCATTGGGAAAGAAAAAAAACGTTTCCAGTTAAATCTGCGATTCATTAGGAATACTGAAATTCTAAAAAAACATTTTCAGAATTGAAAAAATTTCTGAAACATTGAAAACTTTTCTATAGTAGCAAAACTTCCCCCCTAAAAACTGCATGTTTCCATAAAAATTTCCCATATTTCAAACGACGCATGTTTGGCGTTTTGGGTTGCCCGTTTTATTTTCGCAATATAACGATTAAAAATGCTTCATCATCTTTAATCTTCTCCCACAATCGCACCTCCCGGCCCGATCTTTCCTTTTCCGTTTTCGCTTTTTCTTCCTCCGTCTCCCATTTTTGTCGTTTTTGCATAATCCTCATTTTGACCTTATTCCAGAAAAATGGAGCTTAAAATCAATATCGATGGACTTGAACGAAGCGTATCTGGTGTGACGGAAAATACGACGTGCTCACAGATTATATATGCCCTCGCACATGCTACAAGTCAACGAGGACGATTTGTAATGGTGGAAAAATATAGGAATGTGGTAAGTCGCTTTATGGTTTTTTATTCTTTGAGAAAACGCTGAAAACAAGTTTCTCGGAGAAAGCTGGAAGGTCAACATTTTCTGCAAAAGAGGTCATGATTAGTAAAGAAATTTTACGGTTCAAGTAGAATCGGAAACGTTTATGAATACAATGATGAATAAACTTGGTTGTTAACTAAAATCGAGTTTACAAAAAGTTAGGAGATGATTTGAAGTGATGTAATTTTGGCCTAAACTGAAATTATCAAAATAGAACAAAAAACAATGCTTGAAAAGTTCTCCAGTACCCATCAGCTTGTAAGTAGAAGTCATGTCATACTTCTGGAGGACCCTGTATTTTTAAAATTTTTATTTTTTTGTTTATCGACAGTGAAAAATTCAAGTTTTGAAACCATCGAAAATTGATATACAGTAATGCCTGAAATCAAATCGTACTTTTTCAACTTTTCAATTTACCTTCGTTCCTATGGAAAGCATTGAAAAGTGTTAAATTAATAAATGATTTTACTTTTATGATGAAACTTTCATCATTTGCCCATTATCATCAGCATCAAACAAGAAGAATTGGCTCAACGTAAACAGTTAAAAGGCCCTTATATTAAGGAGTCCAACCTTGAAGAACTCCATTCCTGTTTAATTGGTGACAATTACTCATTGCATCCTCTCCAGACAACCTTTTAATCTAATAATTTTTCAATTCTTCATTTCTTTTGTTACAAATTGCCTCTAATTCAGGAACGCCGATTAGCACCAACTGATCGACCTCTGGAGACACTCCAAAAATGGAGGGAACACGCCGCAAACGTCACATTCCAAATGCTTCGAGTCGATCAAAACGACGCGATTTGTGGTGAGTTTTCACAATTAGTTTTGATGAGTTCCACATTTTTTTTTCAATTTTTTGAAGCTTCAAAGCACATGTGGTTCTAATTTCAGATCTTGTTGACGAGGCACTTCCTCCGGAGCCAAGTAAGCCGTATCTACACCCAAAACAAATGTCAACTAGCAGCATGATTGCTTCATTACCAGGTTTGTGTGTAGTCTTTTGGTTTTTTTTTGTTCCGGTTTTTCCAATGATCATTAATGAAAAACTTGAACAGAGAGGAATTAATCAATCTTTTGTGTAATTATGGGGGGAGGCATTCAGCCAAGTAGCCATTCACACTAAAAAATACCGAAAAAAAAACCATAATCCATTTTTCATTTTGTATCATACGACCTTTACACAATTATTTGTTGTGGCCATCTTCCACTACCAACCTTGGGCCGACGTCGTCTCTGATTCTCTTTAGCTTCTCCCACAATCTCACCTTTTGCCTTTTGCTTTCTCTCCCAGTCACATACACACAAACACATTCACACACAACTGCAACATATTTTACACAACAAAAGCCAATTAAGGAAAAAGTGCGGCGGGCCAGCAGCAACAGCTTGAAAATGGACAAAGAAGCACTAGTTCGTTGCCAACTTACACGTCAACTGGTGTCACTGGTACTCTTGGACGAAGCAGCAACAACCGACGACCTCCGCCACCAGGTAAACATTTTTCAAATTTTTTTGAACAACAATTTTGGCGAAAATATTAACTAGTATTTTAATAATGTTATATCGTGGTAGAGAACGCTTTCTTTTCAAATTTCAATTATTTTCAAAGCATATAAATACAGTTAACTTCGAAAATACTTTATTTTCATAGTAGTAATATTTAGAAAAGGTCGATTATTTTTTGTCTGTATGTCATCATTTTTTGCGGAATTTTAGAGTTCTGCTTTTTTCCCATTAAAACGAAAACACTCAAACGATAATTTTTGATATACTGAAAACAGTGTGCAAATGTAAAGAAAATTTTGAAATTAGTTTCTTCACTTTTCAATATAAATTTCAGGAAACTTAGTAAACCTCAAATAAAACAAACCATGTTTTTTCTCTGTAAACCAATGGCAGGGCCCCCACACTTTCAGGTTTCAGCTCAGTCATCTCAATTCCTATATAAGATATCAAAAAATGTCAACTGATGAAACGTTCGTGATATTATGAACAACAATTCATTAGTTAACATCTTCTTTGAATCATTATCAGGAACCGAGATAAATTGGCTTAAAGTTCGACATCAGGGGGTCTTTCTATTAAATGTTATTTTTAAATTTCCATGTTCTTCTCATTTTCTCTTTACGATTGTTTTGCATTATAAAAATTACAATTCTTTGTTTGTGAATATGAACACCAAAAATGTATGGTTCCTTGGAACTGAGGGTCTCAAAATCACTTTTTATATTTTTTTTCTTCCAATTCTCTGAGATCAGTCGCTTTTGTTTTCTGATTCCTTTTGTTAGCCAAAAAAATCACAGGACAGCAAATTGTGTCTTATGTGATAGAAAAACGATTGCTTCACACCGAAGCCCTCATCCGAAATCCAATTACTTCTCTTCCCTTTTTTTTCTGCCTATGATTGTCGCCGGTCTTGTAAAACTGAACCATACACAAACATGCAATTTTATACCGGTCGACACTTCTTTTTTTCTGACCTTATTGTTGAGGAAGTGAAGAAAATGTCGGCCAACTAAAGGAAGTGGATACTCATATCAGTTCTTAACCAATGATACAATTGTTATTCAGACTGATAGATGATTCATTGCTGAGTATAACCTAGTATCCGGAAATTGTTTTTACGATTTCATTTTGTTTATGAAACGAGTTCCCGTGATGGGAATACGTGAATCATTTCATTTTCATTTCCTTCTCGAAAATTCTCATGGTCCAAACGAATTTATAGCTGACCGAGGTTGACCGAACCCGGCACCAAAAACGGTACGAGCAACAGCTGGCGGCTCCATTTCATTCGTTCAATCTAAAATGATCCTCTAACACAGCCCTATCTTCCATTTCTTGTTTGACATTTTTGGTCTTACCAAATTTCAAATTTCATACGTGTAGCGGAAACGGCAGATTCAAACAATAAGATGGTATTCTCCACCCGGAAAAGTGCAAATCAGTATCAACAATCGGGCCAAGTTCTTCTGATATAATTCTCTTGCTAACCTCCCAGTATTGACCGCTTCTCTTTTTTCTCTCGCCATGATTGATGGAAACACGTCTATGTTCGATCGTTCTTTTTTTTTCCTCTTCATTTCTTTTCAAGAGTCCCACCCTCCTCATTTTGCTTAAAGTCAAAATTCGATATTTATTGGATTCTATTTTTTTTCCTCTGAAATAGGCGGACGGGCTACAAGAAATCCCACCCCTTTTTTCACCCTGTTTTTGGTGACACAACCCAATACCATTTTCTCAAGCCCATAAAACCATCACTCGGTCCTGCCCTTCGCAATTCATTCGGTCAGAGTAGTTCGGTTTTTCGTCACTTTCTATTTCCACCACTGTGGGAGACATGGGATGGTCGGTCATTTGTAAATCCGCCTAATTTTATCTGCAAACTTATTTTTCAACATGACGCGAATGTTTTGAAACTCACTATTTTCAACAATATACCGGTATATATCAATCAGAGACCACCACCACAAGATATTTTTTTCTGAAACATGAATAGATATCAGAATTGACCGCCCTGTTTGACATACAGAAAATCACGCACAAGACATGACCGGATAGTTCACTTTTTTCATACCTCCCTCTTCCTAGTATTTATTCGTATATTTTACGATTATTTTTCAATTCAGACTACATGTCAGTGATGGAGAACAAGAAAATCATGTTGGGCGCTGCTACGTTTCCACAGAATGATGATTTTGATGACTTTCAAAGGCAAGTTTCTCATTTTTTCCAGAAGATTTGTTCTATTATTAATTTCAGAGCCGATGTGAATAAGCTTGCCGAGACAATGACTCCACAAGAAATCGCCGACTACCTTGTTCAGGAGGAGGAGCTCCGCCAGCTTCTCAAGCAACAGGTGACCAACCAACTACCGTAATCTGATAACCCACATTCTTGTTTAGAAAAATCTCCGTGCTATTCTGAAGCCAATGATTGCTGCTAACTGGCCACAACAATATCAAATTGAGTTGAAAAAATCTCACAAGCTGAAGGCCTCTCTGGCATCTACTAAAGAAGCTATCAAGAAAACGCAAAGGTTAGTGAACACCTGACGTAGTCCCCAGAAGACGTGACTACTGTAGTGGCAGTGTTCGGCTGATTTCGGCTGATTACCTCTTTTTACTATTTGGTTATCAAGGGCGTCACGTCTTCCTAATTCAAGTTTTCCAAAGATTTGCAAAACTTCACTACTTTTGTTTTGTACTTTTTATCAGATTAACTGATTATTCTATTTTTTCAGTGACATCAAACGTGTTGAGGAGAGTGAGAGAGAGTTGTTGAAAAAGTTGGCCGAATTCAAGACCGAAGATATGGGCGATGAGAACTCGGAGCTTTCTGAAACCTCATTCGATCTGGGATGCTCATCGACAGGAACATCCACTCCACAAACATTAATTGCATAATTTTCCACTCATTTCATGTTATCTGTGTATTTTTGTCGACCCACGTGTCAAGCTATCGGCTTTATTCTCATTCAGTTAATTCCCGTTTTCCCAAAACACAAATCATCCACTCAAGTAATAATTTTCATTCCTTTCCATCACTTTACCGTATTTTTCTTCGTGATTTTCTGATTGTAATTGACTCTGGAAAACTTGAACATTTTCTTACGAAGCACGTTTTGTATTTTTCTTATTTTCTATGTCTGAATGCGACTTTTTCCCTGTGCTACTTTCTTTTTCCTCGAATCCCAGTTTTCCCATTAACACCCAAAATAACAAAAAATCCCATATTTTTTGTAAAGCAAACTCAACAAAACCAAAATAAAAATAAGCGATTTATGCGAAAAAAAAGTTAGAAAATATTTGGGAAATTACAAGAAAAAAACCAAAAAATGTGTTAAAAAAGAAGGGTTAGCCAAAAATAGAACATCTTTTCGTCTGAAATTAACCGAAAATCTAGGGTTTCTGCTTTTGGCGGCAGTTCATCACGGGAAATATGATTTTATTCAATGAAAAAATATTTGTTACAGGAATGGCTATTAATGAGAACATCTTGTGCCAAGATTTTAGAAGGAAAATATAATTGAAGATTTTTGGAGGCAAGCGAATATAATTCAGAGTTAGTTCACTGAATAACTTCAAAAGATTAAACTTCAAAAGGTCAGGATTGCTCAATTGTGTGATGCGCGTTGACTGTGAGAAGCGCGTTCCTGAAATAATAAATTAAATCATTAAGCTTCAGATTCTCCCAAGTCCTCTTACCTCTCCCTCTTTGTTATAAAGAGTAGTCACGACGTCGTTTCCGGTACCAAACGAGTCTTCGAGGTCAAACACAAGACTATCTGGTGGCGAGTGGATTCCTTGACCGCGAGCAAAAATCTTCACATTCTTCTGAGCACGTAGAACGAATTCGCGAGGGAAGGTGTAGACGATTTCACGCTTTCCAGCTATCTTGCGACGCAATTTCCAGTCACCAATGTTCTCGTCGCGTCTGGCAATGTTCTCCAGAATGATAAACTTTCCAGTTGGTTCAACCTCCTGAAAATTGAAATTCTATGATTTCAAATTCCACGGCTCTCTTTCAACCTGAATAGACACATTTCCTTTGGCAGATCTGGAATACGAAGAGTGGCTGGTAGTTTCTCCTTTGAGTACTCGAAGGCTCTCTGTAATTTGCATTCTTAATTCCAATTTCAATATTTAATTCCAAAATTTTCTGGAAGTTTCACTTTTCAAAAAATTGAAAAATCAAAACACCAAACACGGGTCTTGTGATTTTTCCGTGTAACTAATCTTACCGTATGGCTTTCTTCGAATTTTATCACCGACCAAGTAATGGGTATGGGGAACCTCATCAAAAGTAATTGTCTCGTACTGAGAACAATGAATCTCTGGCATTCTTAACAAGAGAGAGGGATAAGAAGAGAATAATGAGTGGTGGGAAACAGTGAAATGATTAAATAGAAAGTTTTTTTAGAACCGGAGGGACACACCCAACCAAAAACTGACTACCATCATCAGCAAATAACAATAAAGTTGAGTTACACTGTTGACCGCATGACTTGAAACAAGTTATCGACCAACGGCCAGAACCAATTTGATTTTTGATGGTTTTTAAATGGGAAAAGGAAGATTAAAATTTTTTGAGACTTACCAATTTCTTTAGTTTGGTGGATAGATGTAGTTTTGACGACTTGTTCAACTAATTGTCGGAGACCTGCACGATTCTCTTCTCCGTCTAGCATCTTACGGTAGATCACAATTTCAGCATCCAGGGTCTGTTTGGTATCAATCAACATTTGAAGTTCAACCATCAGAATCTTGCTCTCATCACGGAGTTTGTTGATCGACGAGTCCTTATCATTCAGCGATTGCTCATAAGTTCTCATATCCTCTTCCATTTGGTAGTTGAGGTCTTCAACTTGTTTCTCCAGGAGTAGATTCTGAAATTGGCCGTTTTTTATTTGATTTTGTAAATTTTTGTGAGAACTAACTCTTCCTTCCAAATCTGCCATCTTGCCACGCATGTCTCCAAGTGTGGTGCGAAGTCTCTTGACTTCTTCGCGAGCATAATTCTGCTCCAAGCTATTACGTGATGCTTGAGTATGAATCTCCTGGACCTTGAGTTTGTACCACGACTCGATGTCAGTACGGTGGGTATTGTTTACCTGAAAAGAGACGTTAAATACATTGAACAATGTTTTGGATTACATGATCATATTCGCTTCTGATGTCACGAATGGCGGAAGACAATTCGTTCTTGAAGTATTCGCGGTTTTCAACAGTGGTGTCACGAGAAGCCATGGCAAGAAGGTCGTGGATTTCAGAATCATGAATGCGTTTGATGAAATCGCACTCTTCAAGAAGAGTTTGCACTTGGTTTTGGTAGTCGATACGGTTCAAAGTCTCTTGTTCAACGGCCTAAAATTGTAAGTTTTCATCTTTATAATTCGAGTTGCTCACATTTCTTGAATGATGGAGGTTATCCATCATTTTGTGATTCTCTCTTTTCAAGTACGCAATGGTATCTTCCATCAATGAGATTCTTCTCTTCAGCAACTCAATCTCGGCTTCCAAGGCTCCAAGTTTTCCAAGAACGTTGTCCAACTCTTTGCGTGTAACATCAGCTCCTCTCTCCGCCTCGTGCATCTTGTTTCTATAGTTGTTCAGTTCTTCAGTGAGCTTACGGATCTGATCTTCCAACTGGGCTCTTTCCTTGTCAGAGTCGGCAATCAGTTCCTTGGCGGTCTGAAACAAAAAGTGTAACAAAGCTACAGTAGTTTTCCTATACCCGAAGCTCAGTTTCAAACATGACTTTGACACTGGTGGAGTCGTGTCCCCACTTTCCACGGAGGAGATCCAAGTCTTTTTCCATCTTGCGGTTTTGGGCTTCCAAGAAGCGGACTTTCTCGATATAGCTAGCCAAACGATCGTTCAGTTCGCTCATTTCTTTTTTCTCGCGAGTACGAGACTCACGGATAGCCGAAGCAGCATGACCACCGAATGGTGACATTCCAGATGTCAAAGTTGAGCCACCAATTTCAGTGATCTTGAGAGTACGGCTAGTTCCGGAAGCTGGAATTAACAACGGTTCAGATGAATAATTGTAAATTTCTATTATTATCTAAAATCAATGCACTTTGAGTGCTTTGAATTTCCTCAAAGCCGTAAGAGCGGACTACCGTATTTTTTGAGTTGCTTTTAAAATTTACTTACAAATAGTACTTCCATAGGTGGCGGTTGACTGCGAATGCAGAGTTCTATTGAATGTTGGTCGCACCGAAATCGAGCTTCGGTATTCGCTCTCCGACATTTCCTGCAAACAGAAACTGTCACAAATATTGTCCCATTAAAAATAACAACAATAACTGAATGAACAGTATTACCTCATAGTAAATTACGTTAAACATAAGTGACAAAATTGATAGATATGAATATGACACAGATTTTAGGGATAATAGATTTTGGCAAATCTAGGACAAATGCACACGTGCGAGAAAAACTATTGGTTTCTCGAGAGCCCAACTCTTGACGCAACAAAAAAACCGTGTTGCAATTCGTGCGCACTGTTTATTTTGACGGGACTACGAGAGATGCATGCGTGGATGAGAAGAAAGCTTAGGAGAGAAGATCTTAATTGTCTATATAGTCAAATTATAGCAGCAAAAAAGTGGAGGTAGGCAGCAAAAAAAGAGAGAGGAGATGAAGTTCGGAGAATGGAAAACCGCGCAAAAGCAGCAGTAACGGTTCATCGAGCTATTGACGAACGGCCGACACTGACCACTATTCAAAACGGCGGACGGTTGGACAACGGCGATTGCTGGCCGATTACTAGAGATGCTAGTTAGCCGCCTGTCATGACGTGTTTATACGCTGCTACAGTTTTATTTTTCCAATATTTTGAAATGGTGAACTTGTTGATGAAAATTGGAATAACAAAACGTTGAGTTACAGTAAGATACGGTAGGTTACAATACGATAGGATCGTTACAGAAAAGATTTGTAAACATGAAGTTATCAAAATGTATCAAATCTAAAGATAAGAAGTTCACGATAAAAAATTGTATTTCTGATCACAACAGCCTACAGTATCATGAAAAATTGAACATTATACAGATCCAAAAAGCCGAGAATAGGGTTCCTACAGTAACTTAAACGTTGTACAGTTTTTATCTGATTCGAAAGTTACTGTAGGTTATTATTAGAGCCATATAACGTAAGAAGAATGACAGAGATCAAATACAGGATATTATGCTAGTTCAAAAAACAATCAGCGCTGTGGACAAGGAACGCAGATGGTTGTGGCTAAAAATCACACAGCGACAACTACTGTAACCTTAGTTGTCTATTTACTCGAATTTCGTGCGTTTTCAGCCAACTCCTATAAAGCAGTATAAACAAAATAAGTCCTGAAAATAAAACTTTTTAATTACGGTATTTTTTGATGTGGGACCTTTGGCCACGAACACTGGCGTGTCTCGTCCACAGCTCCGATACTTTCTCACCAGAATAATGGAAACTTGAAATATAAGTTTTGAACAGGAATCCAGAAAAAAAAACTTTGACAGCAGGGCGTTACAGTATACCCACTGCCTCCTACACTCCAAAAAGAAACACTCTGGCATCAGAGACAAACAAACCGTTGGTGGTGCTTGAAATTTATATATGCAAAATATCAAAGGAAGGCGGAGTCGCCTTTTTTGAGCGACATGTACACAAACGCTCAACTCGGACAGTAAAATTTGGGGAGAAAAACGCGAGCGAAGGAAAAAAAGGCGAGCGTGGGGCGGATTGATATCAAAGCGGTATCAAAACAAACATTTGCATTTTCAAACTGTCTCTTTTTTTACCTTTTTTTACTTTGACAATAATTGTGGAAGGGGACTGATAACTTTGATTGTGATAAAGGAATGTTTATTAGTTTCAATTTAGAAAATCGGATCAGACTACTTCAGCTAGTAAAGTAAAAGTGTATTGATTTTGGAAGCTCAATGACTAAAAGTTACCGGATTTCCTTCAATCGAAGCTCACTCGAACCTTCAACTTCAAGCTCAATCATTTCGATTACTGGGAAAAGTATTGTAAATTTGTCAACTGATGAAATATTGGTGATATTATAATAAAAAACCCATGATTCGATAAATTTTGATATCTTTAATAGGGATCAAGCTGATTAAACTTTAAGTCGACGGTTTTTGTGAGCTTTTATTATAGGAAATACAGTTTTTCGAAAAATTCAATTTCGGCTTACTACTATTAACAATTTTCCAAAATTTTTCTAGACGCTTTGGAAACGAGACACAGTTTATAGCAAAGAAAAAAAACAGTCGTTAAGCGAGTGAATAAGTTTTTGATCTGTATAGACAATAAGCCCTCGGATCAACCGGCCGCCTTTCGCGTTAAACACCCATAAATAAAACAACACACTCTCCACTTTTTTCTTCTTCCTAATTTCGCACTGAAATTCCCATAAGAAATGTGAATCGACCTTTTATTCTCACACTATATTACGGTATTGTTGGCAACAAAAAAACAATCAAAAAAGAAGACGAAACGAAACTCACTTTTTTGGTTGTGGTCGTCGTCATGGTTTGATAATGTAGTTGTGTTTGAGTGAGTGGTGACTCTTGATATAAATTTATCTACCTGCGTTTTTATTCATATCTATTGGTTCGGAACGACTCAAAACAGGTTTCATTTTGCATTTTGCATTCTGAATATTGTCCGTATAAGAACTACCTAAGCCGTTTCGGATTACAGTGTACATATTGTTATATGACTCTCAGCGATCGGGCATTTCCTGCATAATTATTCATGGAACGTGTAGGTTGGTATGAGGGAAAAGGGAGCGATGATGATGTATCGTTTGTACCTTTTTTGCGTAGGTAGGGGACAGCAATTTGAAATGTTTCTATTCAATTGAGAACGTGAGTCATGTACATCAAAAACGTTTATCAATTTGTTCCACCGCAATTTCAGACGTTTTTCTCAGGCGTTTTTTTGTGTTTGAAATGATTGGAATTTCATTTTCTCTGGTTTCCCTTATTTTCTATGCCTTGGCATACAAAGAGGAGAGTATTTATATTCAAATCAGTTTTTTCTTAAAGACGAAAAAATGATTTATTCTATTTGCACAGAAAAAAAGAAATTCAAAGTTTTGCCGAATGTCTCAAATAGTCTGGCAGAGGGGTCGGCGCTCCGAGATGCTCCGAAAAGAAGCGGACGGTTCTCTCCCAAACTTCGAACTCGCTTCTTCCATGAAGACTTGTATCGCCGCCGTAGGTTTGGAAAAGCCCTAAAAATGATGCACAATGCGGTCAATAAGGAATACAAAAACATTTTGTTCAGTTGATTGTCGGACAGTTGGACCACTTTCAGGAGTCTGGAACTCGGCTCTTAAGTTTCCGATCACTGTGAACTTTGGAAGGTGTAAAACAGACCTAAGTGAAAACACGCATTCACATATAATTTTGAAAATGCTTAGTTTCTAAGCTTTTATTTGCCGATTTCTGAAAAACCTGTTTCTTCACGTTTTCAGGACAAAAGTGGGCCAAGAAAGGTTTGTTTTTTAGAAATCGCAATTAGTTAAGAAACTAGGAATTCTTAAGAAATTCTGTGAATGCAAAGTTTTCAATTTGGTTCTGCTCAACACTTTCCTAAATTTTCTAAATAATCGGAAACTTTAACGCCAAGCTAAAGACTTGTGAAAGTGGTCAGCATGACCGAAAATCAACCGAAAAATACGTTTCTATATTTTATAGACCGGTACTGTATAATTAAATTTCAAAGGCCTAAAATTCCAACCTGCAATGTTGGAATAGACCATTGGATGGTGTGGAAAACAAGGAGGATCCAATAAATGACCTCCCGGCACAAAATTTACCTCGAACTTTCTTCCAGCGTCACGCAGTCTAGCAGAAAGATAACTGTTTGCATATATTGTAGGCGTGCTCAGATCGTCTAGAGCGGACTAAAATTTTTAACGTATTTATTTTTGATGCTTTTTTTGAAAAATTGAGCTCACCACAAATCGAAATGCAGTAACTAAACTTGTTTCTTTGAATTCGAAATCAGCACCCTCCCCCAGTTCAATGTTTCTCACCATGTCTGTGTAAACCATCAAGTCGTTCAGGAACTTTACATGTGCTCCGTCTGCCTTGAATCTAGAATTGAAATGGGAGGAGTTCGCTGAAGTTCTATAACAATTGAACAAAATTTACGGAACTTACATCCCTATCGGCGGGCACTTTCCATTCACTCGAACATGTGCAAACTGGTCCATTGCAAAACTTCCGTTAATGGAACAGACTGCCTTTATCTGAAAATCGGACCATTTTTCACATATTGCTAATTGTAATCTCACTTTCGGAAATTTCGTAGTTAGAAACATAACAAGAGTGCCACCAAACGACACTCCTTGAAATACAATTCGGTCGCGAGTGTATGGAAGAGAAGTTATGTAGTTGATAGCATCCTAAACTTAAAAACTAACACTTCCGTTCTTTTTTGGGAAGTTCTCACTTCAAAATACTGCAATTCCACTGTTAACAAATCTTCCGGAAGACTTTTGTACTTGAAAAATGCCAAACACAGCACCACGAATCCGCGACTATCCAACGCTGCTCTCTGGAAACGAATAAGTCAGAATAAAAAGCTATAATACCTCACTTTTTGCTCATTGAGTCCACCACCGGTGCCAGAAATGTCGATGATGGTTGGGAAAGGTCCAGTGCCAGGTGGTTTGAATATTGTTCCCGTTACTTTAGGTCTAGCTCCAGCGTCTGCAGCAGAATAATAGTCAAATCAACAAAATTTGAGGATACCTGGCGGAAAAGATTCCTCGACTTCAATTCTTTGCACCGTTGGATACATTAATCTCCTTCGGAACATTTTCTCGCATACTTTTCTTTCTCTGGGGTCCGTTACGCTAAAATGTGTAATTTCTAGTTGACTTATACTGTCTTTCACATACATCAAGTAGTATTCAAGGTCCACGGGCGGTGTGCAATTGAAATATCCTCCAAATCTAACTCCAAGGTATCTGTAAGCTCAACACTTTCAAACAGCCCTCGGTCATTGACTCCAAAATATGTTCCACGAATTGGAGCATCTTTTCCAACATCTATTTTTCCGGAAACACTTGATTTGTAAACTCCAAACGAGCGATGTGCCAGCTTTGTGTATAAGCCTGAAAAAAGAAACATTTGAAGACTTGTGGATATAAATGATTATAAATAATTTTTGTTCGATATTTCACAAAGTTACGTTTCTATTTCTCTGATTAATCCAGAAAAACTATAAAATAAAGTATTTAATCCTGTCCGCAAGCGTCGAAACAGACGCCTAGTGTATTGCACACTGCTATTTAACCTTGTCCTATTTCAAGCTGTTTCTCTATTTTCAAAGCAAGATTTCAGGTGAATGAATTTAGAAATGTGCAATAAAAATTTATTTAGTCTAAAACTCGGAATATTCCTGGAAAATATGCCACTAAACGAAAAATTGGACGGGACACCAAGAAACACCAGAATTGACGACAATTGAGAATTCAAAAAGTGTTGGTACTTATTGGAGGGAATCATGGGTGCTGGGTATTTTTTGCGAAATTTCCTGGGGAAAATCAATATTTACCTCAATTCCAGTTTATGAATAGTGCTGTACTCTAAATCATCCACTACAATTTCCACATCTTCATGGACCAGCGAAGCGGCAGGAGAAATTGATATATTCGCCTTCATTGTTTGCTAGGAATAGTGTTATGGGTGCCCTAGAGTTACGACAAAAAGAATCAAGTGTAGTTTTATCAGTATCAGTCTAGCCAAGGACCAGAAAATTGATAACAATCACGTGGAAAATGGGGTACTTGATCTTTTGCAAGTTTCGCCTAAAGTGAGATTTTTTGAAAAACTGCAAGTCCTTCAGATTTTGAAAATAACCCGAAAACAAAAATGTATGAACTAAATTCTGAAGTAAGAGCTACACTGTTGGGTACAGTGTGACAAGTGTGTGTAGAAAAAAAAAATGAAAAAGCAACTTTATTATTTTACCAAATCATGTCATAATCAAAAAATTGAAACAGGGTAAAAATGAAGGAGAAGCGGGAAAAAACAACCAAAATGCAATGTAAAACGGTGATGAGAAGAGGAAGCGGGACACAAAGAAGACACATTGGGGGAAAATTGAGGAGGACCAATTCAATTTTACCTAGATGGTTTTTTAGAAAAGTGTAAAGAAATAACAACCAACATGAAAAAATGAGGAGAGAAAAAATCCATGAACGTACCCAAAATCGTTAGAAACGGAATTTTCAAAAGTTCAAAATAGGCATGCGGAAGCCAAAAACACAGAAATATGAAAAGAAAAGCAACGGATATGAAATACCGAACGTGAAATGAGGTAACACGAACTGCCAAAAAAAGAAAAAAACGTCCTAACTAAACGAAAAACGTGTTAATTCAAGCAGCTGTTTGATTTTTTCTGATGATTTTCGAGATTAAAAAAATTAACCATTAGATAAAAAAATTGAAGGTATATGATGCTGGTACCGAGAGATGATTGTAGATGTTCGGCAATTCAAGTCTCGCGAGATGATGCTAGAAGAATTGGGCAGAAGAAGGTGAAAAGGGGTCAAACAAAGTGAGTGAAGGCAAAAAACCGTTATCCGTGATGAAGCGTTGTTGAGATTGTTCGATTAGCGACTATATGATCTATTGGTTATTCTTCAGTGTCTTGAGTGGGATCTAAAGTTAATAAAACATCAATTTATCATTTTCTTTATCAGATGAACATACTTGCTCATCATTCTCATCCTCCTCCTCGACGACTCCATTGTTCAATTGTTTGCGCTTTTCCTCCTCGAGATCTGGAAACTTTAAATTGTATTTCAGATTCAATTAGCTGAAAATGAAATCGAACTTAAGATATATCATACTTCACTTTGGAATTTTATTAGCACTTTTTTTGAGGAGAAACGGAATTCTTGAAACTTTTAGCTTCATGCATTACAACAACCACAACACAAATGTCTAGTTAACAAAACACAATTCACGATGACTAGGTCACCTTGTAACAACTGATGTTGTTGTTTTAAAGACTGAATGGTTCTTTGATAATCAGTCAATGCCTCCTCTGACCGTTCGGTCAAAACAGACAATTTGCCAGACATATTATCCTGGTCTTGCATTTGGAAAGCGGAATCTGGAAGGTTTGAATTGAGAATTTCAATTCATTAAATGACGTTTCGGTCTGATTTATGTCTGCAAAATACAAACCTTGAGCTGGTCCACGACGTTTGATAACAAATGGAATTGTGGCAGAAATGAGTCCAGCAACCAAGATAACCATTCCTCCGAAGTAGAAAGCGGCATCGTAACTTCCAGTGATATCATAGACAAGTCCGGCGAATGGAGATCCAGCAAGAGCAGCAATACCTCTGGCAACGACCAGGAGTCCGAAGGAGTTGGTGAGCTTTTCGAGTCCCATGAGATCAGCAAGTACGATCGAGGTCAAGCAAATGTAGGCAGCTGAAACATTTGGAAACTTGAAAGAATTCAATATTTAGAAAACTCACAGATAATGAATCCGAAGAAGAAGGAGTAGAAGTATTGTCCTCCCATTGTGCGAAGAAGTGGGCATGCAAGAGTCAAGAATCCGCAGATAATGAGTGACAGATTGTTGATGGTCAAAGCAGAGAGATATTTTTTGTCAGCAACCCAACCGAAGAAAACCCTGCCTACTGTGTTGGTGACTCCGATGATTGGGACGAGGAACTTGGCTTGCGATGGGTCGAGTTTCATTGATTCAGAGAGATCTTTAAGGAACATGAATGGAATGTAGAATCCCATCATTCCGAGGAGGTTGGACAGGCAAAGGATGAGCATGATTGGGTCTTTCAACAGTTCGAGGTCGATCATTTCCGAGAAGGCGTTGCGAATTGAGAGAGGCAAAATTTTGCAGCATCTAAAAATGAAACCAATGTCAGGGTTCGGGTTTTTTAATCAAACATTTGTGACTTCTACTCATTTACAATTTAGATAACCCTTTTTTGTAGATCAAAGTTGCTCATTGGATGAGGAACTTATATCAAAATTAGAGAAGTTTGTTTTACAAATTCCTATAACCTTGCTCACTCGAAACGCTTACTCAACCCTTACTCAACGCATGCCCGAAAATAAGCTCAAATCACTTTCAATTTCATTTTAAAGAATTGGTTATTGTCGAATTGTATTTTGATTACGCCTAACTCTTTTCCGAGCCTTGAACACTAAAAACAGTATTTGTGTATTTTTCCCAATTCATTGACACGTAACATGATTTTCCAAGATAAAATTTAAAATCGTAAAAACTTCGTTTACTAGACAACCCTAGAATATCTGTTCTGAATCCCCTGTATCATTAAATTATATCTTCACAAGCGGGTTGAAAGACGATTATCAGTTCTTTGTGGGAAATTGATATGATATCAGCTTATCTTCTCATATCCTCTTCTAATTTCCTTTTTCCTTTTGCCTATGCTATCAATTATCACAACATACCCGTCATCCACGAATGGTTCAATCATTTCGTCTTCCTCTTCTGGCACAGCTTGTCCTCCAATACGACTTCCGGCACGGCTCAAATTCATTTGAGAAGCAGCTTGTCCAACAACAGATTTTGGAATGGAGAGAGTCGACGAGCGATAGTTAGCCATGTTTCCTCCCTCTTGCTTGAATTCCTTCAAATTGCTGATTGATCCTCCGTAGAAGATATCCTGTCTGTTCAATGGACGAGCAAACTCATTTGGGTCGACTCCACTCATGGCGATGCTGAGGTTGGAAGCACCTCCAGACTTGCTCAATTTGCTCAAAGATTGGGCATATGATCTGGCGGAGACGCGGCTCAAACGATTTTCAGCCAGGTTTCCACGGGAAGATTTCAAGTCGTGTTGGGATCCAGAGTTGCTAGTCATGGTGTGCTTTCGGGAACGTGGAGCCGCGTGGCGGATCTTATGAGCATCGGATTTTGGAGTCTCAGATCCATCATCGATTTCATTGAGGACACTGCGAAGGCGTTTGACGGCTGGATCTTGAGACAAATCTTCTGCAAAATTAAAATTAATGCACTGAAGTTTGGTTTTTCGTTTTTTTTTTTGCAAAAACGGAAACTACACATTTCACACTCGTAAAAATACTCGTAATAAGTACTTTTTTATCATTTTAAGCGTTCGTAATATTTTTAATAGCAACAGTTTACAATTTCACTCCTTATCTATATGTGCCTTTCTACACCTCACCTTCCTGATTGGCACCACTGGCGGCCGACGTCGAACGGTTGACATGCGGACTTTCAACTGTCTCCTCCTCTTGATCTTCTCCATCGGACATCTTGGAAAGCGCCTGACGGAGTGGCTCCATCTCTTGGTCACGGAGCTCATTGGGGTCAATCATTGGGAGTGGGCGGTAGAGGAATCCAAAAACGACACAACAGAAATTGAAAGCAGCCAAAATCCATAGAGTCTTCTCCCATCCGAAGTCTAAAATTTTTATCATTAATGTGATAATTATAAGAAACAAATCTCACTAGCAATAGCATACTGGCAGATCATTGGCATCACAAAAGTTCCGACTCCAGATCCAGCGACGGAAATTCCAGTAGCCATAGCTCTCTTAGACTCGAAATAAAATCCAACAACAACAATAGCTGGCAAGTAGATCATACCAAAACCGATTCCTCCAACAACTCCGTAGATTAGCATGAAAATGTAAATGTTTGGGGCGGCAGGAGCGATCAGAAAAGCGACTCCAGAAATGAGAGATCCTAGGATGACAACATATCTTGGCTCGTATTTATTGCAAAGTCCTCCGACGATTGGTCCGACGAGCAAGTAACTTCCAATAATGAGAGATCCGATGAGTGAGGTCATCGCGTCCGAAGACATATACCGATCCTTGTAAGATTGTTTGAATTCCGAAAATGCTGTAGAGATACCATCCACCACAAAATTTGACATAAAAGCAGCGATTACAATAACCCATCCATATCCGCCATCAGGCGCATGGGGTACCAATTGTGTTTCAACTGAAAAATTATTACTTGGTTAAAATTCGTTAAATCGATTTACCTTGTTGTGCACCCATGTTGATTGAATACTGAGAAGAGTAGTTCGTGAGCTGTCCGTCGTTCAGCGAACCAATATCCTGATCCTCTTCTTCAAATGGTGGTTCTCCTAGAAGTAGTAAAAGATAAGAGTTACTTTTTCGGGAACAATATAAAGGAGGAAAAGCAATAAATCATTTCGTTTTGATTTCTTATCAAAATATTATATCTCTGATTGTTGCAGTCACTGTTTCACGCCTCACACTCAAACACACACATATATATATATGGTCGACACCTTCTCGCGTGTGTAGACATTAGCAGGAGAATAATGATCGAATGGATAGAGAGGTGACGATAAAAACCCAAAAAATTGTGAGAAAATATATGGCATTGAATTGGTGATGGATGCATTTTTCTCAACCTCGACAAATGAAATAGATTGATTGGTTTTCAATGATTTACTACCATGTTGAAAATTTGAAAAAAAAACTTTTTGTTTCAATTTGAAAAATTTTAGATTTGAGAAAAAAAGTGAGAATGAAACTGTTTCGAACTATCAGTTTTCGCATTTTTCTCCTCCTACAGTTTTACAACACCTCCTCCCTCCAAGTTTTGAAATCTGATAAGTCGCGCCAAAGTGGCGCGGTGGTCCAGTACTTAAGAAAGTGCAAGTTTTGATAAGGGCTGAAAAGTACTAGAATTCAAAAAGCTAGGTTCTGACTGAAAAAAAAAGTTTCAAAAAAAGAGAAAGAGGCCACAACAGATAAACAATAATAAAAAACAAAGTGTCTAGAAGGGTCCCAATGGCAAAGAACATTGTAAACCAACAATCAGTGAGGATATATGATCAGCTGATCACTTTGTTGATAGCTGCTGGACACTGGCAGATCAGCGAATGAAGTCGAGAAGCCCCCTCCGAGAATAGAAGACAAAGAAGAAACGACAGAAGGTGTGTTCAATATCACGTCGTCTCTCTATCGCCTTCGATACACATTATTAAAGCACTAATCCGCTTGAGGTGTTAGAAAATCAGTTGATTCTCACACTGAAACACTTTACATTTCTCCTATCACCTCACTTTCTCCTAGAACAAAAAAGTAAGGAAATTGAGAATAGATCTCGTTTCACTAGGGGAACTATCTCAGAAAAAGTTTAGAGAACAATGAAAGAAAATATTTTTAAAATAGAATAACTTGTTTTCTTTTTGGGAAAAAAAATGTGACGTGTTCATGAAACGTGACAAGTTGAAAGTTACAATAGTTGATCATTGAGTTATTCTTGAGATTCAACGAAATTAAGAAGCGAAATTTGTTTATAAACGGAAAGTAGTCATCCCTGGTAATGATTCAGCCAAAAAACATGTGAAAAGCAGTTGGAAGGTTCAGTATAGATATTTTGAAGATTTGAAAAAAAAACAAATTTCAAACTAAATTTCAAGGTTGTTGAATGATTCTGATGCAAGCTTAAACGTGCCAAAAACAAAATTCACTGAAGCATATTCATTTTTTACTAAAATACTCTTAGGATAATGTATTTCCTCTGATGCCATTTCAATACATGCCCTGTAGGCTTGCGTATCTTAGTTCCTAGAAGAAATATTAAAAATAACACGAATTAAATATTTTTGGTGGATAAAAATATTCCCTAATTTTGGTGAAAAATATTCCCTGAACAAAGAAACAAAATAAGAATACATTTTCTGTTCAGTTACAACTGTTAGTCGGAGCACAGTGCATAGTAGGCAACGAAATAGGGGATTATGAAGTAAAAAAAAGATTCTTCTTTTTTTTTAGGACAACTGATAGCGCTAATACCAAATATGCTATTGTCGTGCAGCTATCAATTTTTCAAGTCACGTAATGGACAGTAGAAGCGAGGGCGAGCTTATCACTACTATTTTATTAGCTCATTATCATAAATGTTGCATTTTTGTCAGTCTAATTGGGCTGACGAGAACAAAAAAAACAGGTGTTTGCTCGATTCACAACAATTTTTTTTCCGAGAAATTCGTTTTGAATCGGGGAGACAGAAGAAAACTTTCTCCAGAAATGTTTGATAAGAATTAGTTTGTGTAGAAGAAGAGAGGGTAAAGTTTGAATGGACTGCAGCACGTGGTGTCACTTCTGTCCCATGTATGGATTCTCATCATTTCAAAAGGAATCGAAAAAGAAAATGTGGGTATTCTTACACTTACAATCGTCTTATTGTCACCAAAACCTGTGATTATAGGGAATTATTCACGAAATCGAGTGTTTCAGGACAAAAATTCCTTTACATTATTTCAAGTGCAAAAATTCTGGTGGAAAAAAAAATCAAAAGATTGGAAGTAGCCAAACTGAAATTTTTTCAAACTGGTTTTTTAAAATTGCAAGGTACCTTTATCGAAAGTTCCAACATGTTCTTAATAACTTTTGTGCCATATTCTGATCAATAAATTATTAAATTATCAAATGTTCTGAACCATTTCCACCTTTTGCAGCATGCATATACAGTATTTTCACACCAAAAATATTAATCAGAGTTGAAAACCTATGTACACTAAAAAAAAACTGGGAACTCTTGCTTTTCAAAGTTTCAGGTTTTAAAAAATTCAAAACTGGTTGAAAACTTAATATTTTTACCGCTCCTAGGATTTACCATTTTTTGCTGATTTTTCCGATTTTGTCGGCGACGTCGGTTGGTTCTCCTTTATAGTGTCGAGGCCGTCCGGCATGGTTGCCTGAAAACAGTTAGTATGATTAGTCTGAAAATCGTATAGACGGAAAATTCGAGAGAAAACGGAGGACAGAAGTATTGAAAAAAAGAGGAAAATCCAAAAGATGACTATCAGAGACTGAGCTGCTTTTAGATTTTCAATTGAGATTGCATGCAAATGTCTAGTCATTTTCAATTCCTAGACCCATCTTCTTCGATGTGCTCTTTCTGAATTCATAAGATATGGCGTGTGTTCTCTAAGTTTTTTGGTCTTTTGCTCGGCCAGCTGTTCGTCATAAAAAAGAAAATGGAAAATATTTGGGGTCGTTGTCCTACCTCACTTAAAAAAAAGTGAAGAAGCAAAAAAAAACTCTGAATTAGAATTCAAAACAGCTCGATCCTGCTGAACAAACAGATAAATAGTGCGAGAATGGAGGTTTCGCTCTCTAAATCGCGACAAGGAAAGGGCTTCACCATGCTGAGGTGGTCATGATCAAATGTATACGAAGACCACCACCTCCGTCCGGCGAGAAAATTCCCAAGTAATTCGACACTTTCATAGAATAACATAACAGAGAAACGGAGGTGGGGGTGGTGGGTCAATGGTCAAAACTTTGGGAAGAAAGGTATTTAAGGAAACGGTTTCAAAAACTCGAAATTTTGACATTTGACAGAAAATCAGGCGTTTGCTCTAGTAAAAATATTTGGGATTCAAAAAATGGCCAAAAAGTATTTTTCATTTTAGCTTTTTTCTCAAATTTCAGAATTTTGATTCCAAAAAAAGTATTTCTATAAACCCTCGTCTAAATGCTCACTGACCAGAGGAAATTTTCTAAAAAATGCATGGAATTTGTTTATCTGGGACATCTCCTGATCTCTGGTTGCGCTTTTATTGAACAATTTCTCCTAGAATCAAGTGAACTAACCTCGCAAATAACACTATTTGTATGCTTCAACAAACTGCTGAGAAATAAAATTGAATTGTCTACTCATCCAAACAACAACTGCTAAAAATGAGAGGATATTTTGTGGTATTTCATGGAACTCCATGTTCTGCGAGTTCAAAGATAATACGCTGATTGTATTGTCGAAAAATGCGGCGACTAAAATCTCTAGAGTCAATAAAAACAATATTAGCGCATCACGCATCAATTTTTCTTGATATTTTTTCTCGCTTATCTCTTGGGTTAGCTATCGCCATATTGTTTTTATCTCGAAATGTTGGATTACCTGTTTTTTTTAATGAAAGCTAAGTCAATAATAAAAGTATATATTTGTTTGGGGGAAGAGATGAACACTGTAATGATACGAGGTGTGGTGTTTGTAATCTATCCACTAGCTCAAATTACCATACTGATGAATATTATATTGATGCCAACATGGATAACAAAAGAGTAATGATACAAAAAAAAACAAAGAAAGGGGTAGAGATAGAATATTCCAGAGTCACGCAATTTTTTTTCTAATGAAAATGACCTCTAAAGCCCAGAAGCAGTGGGAGAAACGGACTATGAAAGTGACATCTCTCGCGCACAGAAGCCTTGATTAGATTTCTTCTCTAATCTCAGTGTAGATCGACAAACCTGAAAAAAATTCGAGCTAGATACACGTCACTACTAGGAATAGATGAAACAGGAAAACATTATTGTGAATTGCATTGAATCTCCATCAAACAACTATTGATTCAATTCAAAAGGAACAAAAAGAGATGTTGCAGCTACACGGCACAAGCATGTAAAGACGTGCACCTGCACAAATTCTATGTGTATTTGTGTGTGATTCATTCGCGCCATGTCCCTCGCCAACAATGTTGTGAAACTTTCCATTGTCTGCGCAAATGGGACAGCATGACGTATTTGTTGCAAAAACACCATTGGAGAGAGCCATGTGCGTGACCAGCACCACTATTCAGTAGCTGTTTTTTTTCAGATGCACAGCTAGAAAAGAAGCAACACAAAAAAGTCGATAAAAAGAACAAAGAGTAAAAGAAAACGGGACTCAGGCTTCCGACTCAAATTGAACCTCAAAACCTCTTAAATCTGTTCTCCAAAATCTCATTTGTAGGCGAGACCGGAAAAAAGGACATGTTTTTCTTGTTTCTTTCCGAGGTCCATCGTCTACCAGCAAGACTAGTAGGAAGAATGAGAAATTTCGTTGTATTGTTTATTGTGTGAGTAGAAAAACACCAGGAAAGTGGATGGAAAAAAGTGCAGTGGGTCCGTTTGGATGGGTAAACATGGAAATATACGGACGTGATGCTTGTTTTTGCAAGAAAATGGATTTCGAGCCGGGAGACGAAGCAGAAAGACGGAAGGTCTGAGATGGATATCAAATCACGGCTCATTCGAAAAGAGGAGGCGAAAAAGATGTAGATTGGAAACTATCAAAAAATTTCGATAATAGTTGATATCATTTCAACAAAAGTCCAAGAAGTTATCAAATTTGAAAATTAAGCATTATTGTTTTTTCGGACTATGTATGTTCCGTAAATAAAAAATAAAAAAGATCGTTAAAATTTGAAAAATTAAATTATTCGAAAAGTCATAGTACGAATGTTCGCAGAGCGTTTTTAGTTAAGACGGGAGCGAACATTTTCTATTTTTAATTCAAAATGAATATATTTTTCAAAAATACTGACCGTAAAACAGTTTTGACAAAAATCTAAATTCAGCAAAAAAATATTAACCACCAACGTATTTTTAATTAAATTTAAACATGAACACTTTCAACCCTACAATCATATTCTGCTAAAAGTCTGATGTAATAATACCCTACCAAAAATAAAAATATATATTCTCTCGATGCCACCTGTTCTCAAAAAAGCTTCTTCTTCACACTAATACCTATTATTATTATTATTCGCTGAGGGTGTTATGGAGCATCGAAGCGAAAAATGAATGTGCAATTTGAAAATGAGAGAAAAGAGAGCCGAGTGAGTAGAGGAAATTAATTCGTTCATTTGTGAGCAGCATTTTGAAAATGCAATGCGAACGAACGGGGGCACGTCTGGGGGAGTGACGCGAGCTTGAGGGTGAAGGGTGGAACTCGCAAGTTATAAACGCATTTCAAAACTCGCAATGACCAGTATCCAGACTTCGAACGTCCTTCCTCTTTTCTTATTCTTTTTCCTTCTTCCCGCGTTGCATGTCCTTTTCTCTTCTTCTTCCCACACCCGCTCCCGTTAGCTTCTTCTCTCTTTCTCCGCCCATTTTTCTTTTCTACACTAGCACATGAAACATTTGGACCGCGCGGGTGGGGGCAGTAACGGAAAGATAGTAGAGGAATGAGAGCAAAAAGAGCCACCGCGTCTCCTCCCTTCGTGTCCCGTCATCTAGCGCCATTATTCCTGTTGGCTCTCGTTTGCTTCCCATGTCTTTCTATTGCCAAGTCTCTCGCATTCTTCGACTATTTTCAGCTGGAACATCGATTGCCATTGACTCCTAAATACACTCCTTTCTCAAGCATTCACACTCATACAAAGCTTCTAGGTGGTTGTTTATTTCAGAACTGTAATTGAGAACACTCTGGCGAGCGTGTGGCTGTAATGAGAGAACTTAAATTTCAACGGGAAATAGAATTTACTCTAATGAGCAGTGAAGCTGAATATTTAGAGTGAAATGATTTTTTATGGACCAAACTCTTTGGAACATTCGGGAAAGAGAATTGAAGGAACAGAAAGGAACATTTGAAAAAAATTACCAAATAAACGAAAACAAATATTTTCAAGATATTCAGAAGAACAGCTTGGTCAACTTTGAACAATTCCCTGAACAGAAAATTGTTATTCTGGGTTGTAACTAATCTACCGTGAATAGAAGCCTAGCTTATACGTAAACTTTCAGCTCAATTATCTTGGTTCCTTCGAAACATATCGAAAATTTGTCAATTGAGAAAACTTATATCGTTAAATTACCAACAGTTTTTCAGTTGACAAACTTTTTATGTTTTTTGATGGAGCCCAGATAATTGAGCTCAAAGTTCACGTTTAAGTTGTGCTTCTATTCGAGCATTGACAATATTTGAAAAATGACCATTTCCGATTTTGAAAACAACATAATAACATTCTACTGTGGAAAAAGTAAAGATTTGGAATACAGATCTGGAAAAATACGGATTTCGGAAATCTTGAAAAAATGGGGTTCAAGTCATTTGAAAGGTTTCAGATCTGAAAAATATTTGAGCTCAAGTCTCTGTATTCCAATTAATTTCAAATAAACTTTTGGAAAAGATGGACGCAAAAGTGACATACCATTCAAGTGTAACATCATCATGAGCCAAGAAGTAATTTTGAATATAAGTTGAAATGGACAGAAATTATTTCTAATATTTTCTTTTTTTTTTAGGCATTCATCTGCTATAACTTTATGTATTTTTGAGAAAAACAAACTCAAACTACTGTATCAAATCCAACTTTCATAGTTCTAACTAGAGTAGTTAATGCTAGACAAAAGTCATTTCTCACTCTATCCAACAAATGCGAGTGGTCCAAGAGATGCTTCACAGCACTCACACTAGTACATCTATCTAGCCGAACCGAAAAGACCAAACGCCGAAACTAATTGGAGTCCCTAATCTTGTTAGAGTTCAGTAAAAATGGAAAAGTACTTTCAGAAGACACATTGGCAAAGGTGATCTCACAAGCAGCTTCAAAAATTTCTGGAAAAGCTACGAAAACAAGGACATTTGCAAACATCATACTTCGCATTGCATCAAATATTTATACAGGTTGATATCAGTGACATTCGTAGGGATAAGACATTTGAAAGTGAATTTTCGTGTGGGTGGATTGGAAAGAATGAAAAGCAGCTTAAGAGTTCTTAAATTTTCAAAGCAACAATCCAAAAAATCAAGAGCGCTGCCATTACAAAAAGGCCTCAGGCATCAGATGCCATGTCGAATTTATACTGTTCCATCTCCTGGTATTTTGCAGACATGAGACAATAAAGTCTGAAAGGTTCCCCCAAAAATTCTCGTGGGCGGGTAAGCTTTGATTTTTCGGCAGAATTCTGAGTCATGCTGGAATGCTCTTATCCTTCTTTTCGCAAGCCACCAGATCAAAAAACAGTATGGATGTGCCACCGAAATTTTATTAGGAAGGAAGACGTTGGATGAAACACTGAAAATACAAGAAATAAGTTTGGACCTTTTTCTGGAAAATCAGATGTAGGTGGAGGGTAGATTAAGCAGCTCAAAGTTGCAAACGATTTCATAACGCCAAAATGGTACTGTATTATTCAAATGAAAGCATAAAACAGAACTGATAAATGTAAATCACAAAATATGACTAATTTTGCACTTTCATCTGTCCATGTTCAACTAGCTCTATTGGAATTTATTTGAAATCAGAAATTAAAAAATATATACAACAGATTGAGTTGAAAATACAAGATTAAGAGAAGAAATAAGGAGTTGAGACAAGGTAAATTGAGAAAAATGATATCGGAGAAGGGGATGGATCAAGTAGCCGAGTATGTTTGTTGTTTGAAATTCGAACGAGACAAGTCAACAAAAATGTGTTTTCATTTGACACATTACAGCTCAACCCCACGGAACGGTCACTGACAAAAACTAAAAATAAGACAACACCCATGATCTTGTTATGAAAAAAAAATCAAATTTAATTAATATTTCGGTTCTTATGAAGGATATTGTAAAACTTGTATTTTATGACACTTGAACGAGTGTCAAACAAACGAATATTTCGATGAAAATTTATGAAAAAGTAGCTGGAAAAAAACGAAGGGTTCAGTGATAGAAGGGCTCTTCGGAGGTACCTTGGACCATTAGAATGACCAGTATTTTCAAATACAGGTTCTACAATATGTTAATTCTCCAGAAACATCAGTAGTAAAACCTTGCGGGATTGGTAACTTTAAAAGTGATAAGACATTTTTTGTAGCAGGTGGGAGGGTTCGTCGAGATAAGATCAGATCGGGGAGTGTCTAGACACCGTTCGTGCTGAAAGGAAAAGAAAATTTTATAGCTGTCTGGAATATTGACAGATTATTGGAACTGTGGGAAGGAAGACAAGTTTTATAGGAGCTGATGTTTCAATCGATCAAAATTTAAAACAAAAATATACGCTTCTCCCCAAAAATTTTTTTGAAATTGAAACACAATTTCTGTTCATGTGGTTTGTGCCATCAATAATGATTTTATTTTCAGAATTGTAATAATCCACCCTGCATGGTCTCATTATACTTACAACAGCACATTATCAACCAAACATACCAAAAATTAAAAACTCTGAGTCAGAAACTTTTCCCCCTTCCGGAACGTGTAACAACTTCGTTCCACTCATTATTTGTCGGAATATTTGTCCGTGGTTGTCGTACCAATTATCCTCAGAATATAGTATGAAAACGGCGAGCCTCGAGGTGGGTTGAATGAGAGCAGACGATGCCTCACACATACACGAAATTAGTGGTTTCCTGCTCTGTCAGAATAAACAAAGACTCTCTCCCTGTAAAAACTCTTTTCAGTATTCCCTCATGATCTTGTGGTGAGTATGACCAAAGTTGAGTTTCAATAGGTTTTTATTCTCGATGCGGCAGTTAGAGTAACCTTAAAAATTGAAAGTTTTGGAGAAATTCATTCATCAATTTTAGAAACGCGATTCCGTTACCTGATTTTCTCTAATAAAATCCCACTCTACACGTGCACTTCGAGCTCAAGTATCTTGATTCTTTCGAAAGATATCGGAAACTTGTCAATTTATCGAATGCTTTTCGCAATATCAATAATATTCCAATAGTTGAACGATTTTTGATATCTCTCCTAGGAACCGAAGCGATTGAGCTCAAAGTGAACAAGTACCGTAAAACCTCTAATAGACCGTCACCTCTAATTGAACGTCACCCCTAATAGACCGACACGAGAAATTGCATTCTAAAAATAGACCGACAGCCTCTATTTGAACGACAGCCTCTAATACACCGACAGCCGCCTACCCCTAATAGAGCGACACCCTTTCCAAAACTACTGTAGCGACGCAAACACAAGACATCCGCGCGTGAACTCTCGAATCTTTTTTCTCCTTTTTTTTATTTTTCTCTATTTTTCAATGTTTTCTTTTTAATTTTAAATGATTTTTGGTGCGGAAAAAAAAATAAATTTCAGATTAAAAATGAGCTCATCAGACGAATTAGACGGCGAAAAATCAGTGGAAGCACCGAAAGCAACGAAACGACGTTCAAACTATGACATCTCATTCAAATCTTCCGTTGTGAGCTTTGCCTTAAAGTTCAACATTTCAAAAGCTGCCAAGAACTTTGGAGTTTCAAGATCATGCGTTCCAGGAGGATCCGAAGATCATTTGATTCACTGTTTCAAGACAAACTCGGAAGTTCCAGGTGGATTGGATGCATTGAAAAAAGCACGCATGGAACGATCATTGGAGGAGTTGGAAGATCTGATCGAAGAAGTCGACCTCAGTGAGGAAGAATATCAAGGAGATAGTGACTCTTCGCTCATTTTTGATTAAAATTTTGTTGTTTTTTTAATACTTGTTGATTTTTGTTGCTTTTTTTCTGATAAAATTTTTGTTCTTCTAAAAGGAAACCTGACAAACTAGATCAAAATTATCAGCTTTTTTCGGTTTCTGAGTTCAGTTTTTTTTTCATTTTTGTGTACATCGCTCGAATAATGTGTTTCACTATAAGCAACTCTTCAAAAATTTTATCTTGAATTATCCATTCAAACGAAAATTATCTTACAACCACATTTTTGATACCTAAATGTCACGCGCATCTCTACGTAGTCACATTTTAGTCAAACTTCCAATATAGAAGCAGTAAAAAAACCGAGAAATTCTCATTAACCTCAAATGTTCTTTGAATAGACGATGGGTTGTGACCGCATCACTTTTTTGAAACCTCATTGCAACGCTTTTTTTTCATTTTGCTTCCTGAAAAGCTAGAAGAAAGAATGTGTGAAAAGAAGTTGCAATTATGCTGCATTCGATGTCTGATCTCCCAAAAAGTTCTCAAAACGTCCCACTCTGGTGGCCCTCCCAAAAATTATTTGATCCTCCTCTCCTTTGCCACACATTCATGGTGTTGAGAAGAAAGAGAGCAAAAGTAGAAGAATAAAAAGGCGAAAAAACTTGGCAACTTTTTCTCTGTGTATGCTTTTCTTTGGATTCACAGTGAATCAGTTAGAAATTGCGATGCGATGCTCCCCTCGCGACAAGAGGCTGATGTTTGAAAAAATAGGATAAAGAGTGTCTTTTGAACTCGACGCTGACTGGAAAAATGAAATCTTCGACGAGAGATCCCATTAGTGGATAGAACACAATATATGTAGACTTGACACTTTTTTGGTTGTCGTTGTCGTCGTCACAAAAGTTTTTGTCCTCTACTCCCGATTTCGTTTTTTTTTCTTCTTTGCTTTTTGTAATTTTTCATTCATTGAAAAATCTTTAGGAGCAGCCTATTTCTAGAATCAGATCCTTGATGACAACCACGATTTTGAAGTTTTCAAAAATACGAAAAAGGGCTTCATGATCCATTTCCCCCGTATTACAGATTAGTCTATTTTTGAGAAGTTGCATTTGGATTTTTGAGGAAAGACGTCTTTAAAGGTGCACTTCCTAATAAGGATTAAAAAGATTTATCAGATTGTTACAGAGTTAGAACACAGGATTAATGATAACAGTCAGAAGCATTTTCAGCTCGACATTTTTATTTCTCTAAGAAAAAGGCAGGTAATGAAATTCCTTAGAAGTAATTTTCGTTCCCAGGATTGTCGGAATGTTTTTCCGGAAAATCGGAATTTGTTCTCTATCAAGTATCGGTTATCACTAATAATTCACTTTGATTAAAAAAGTGACATTCAACCAAAGCTGTTTTGTCAGTTCTGCGAAAATTACCAAAAAAATCCAAAATTCGTGAGAAATTGTGGTTTTTTTTTTAAATTTTCAACAAAATAAAATTCAAAAGAGCGATATTTTTTTGGATTTTGATTGATTTGATTACTAATCTTGAGGCTTTCCTTTTCAGATTTTTTTTGTTAATTAGTTTTCTTTTCACAAAATAAAAGTGTATTTTAGAATTCTTCAATTTCTACACTCAAATTTCGATTTGTTCAACATCCTGTGTTAGTGAATTAAATAACTTCATAACCTAGTTTAATAAAAAACGACTGGATTATCGCTGAGAAAAGTGTGTAGTTTGTGCCTTGGAATCATTATATTTAATGAATTCATTGACGTCTAATAGTGAAAATTATTGGGTCCAGCACCACACACTTATTTCTGCATTCACCCCATCCCCCATCTTTTGACAAATATTCATTTGCTTGTCCACTTCTTATTCCTCCTCCTCTTCGTTTTTTTACAAAACTTCTTTCCAATTTAAACATCTTCGACCTACTTGAAAGCATTCCCGAGGTGCTCTTTCTTCCCGGTTTTTTTGCTTTTCGAGAGCAGAGGGCACTAGATACAAGAAAAAAAACTCTCGGACACATATAAACTCGTCCTTACAAGAAGCAGAAGAGGGACCCTCCCGTGTCCTCCTGCAATTCCTTCTGCTCCCGAGATACTCCGTAGTTTTCGAGAGGCATCCCAACTCTTCCTCTTCTGGTTTTCAAAAAATCTTTGTTCTTTTTTTCTATGGGCTCTGTTGAATGTAATTGGAAAAATGAAACATTTTCCTTTCACCTTTAGACGAGGAAACACTGGAATGATGTCTCCAGGTTACACTGTCTCAGATTTCTTTTCATTTGCAATAGATCAAATGTTCTTCAGTGGAAATGAAAGTCAAAAAGGCATTCTCTCTTGTCTTCCTACATATCTCCGATCTACTCTAGTAAAACCCCATTTAAATCTAAATAAACCCTAGAAGATTGAGCTCAATGATAAGGTTCACCTCAAAACGTCTCCAGGGACCAACTGCTATTCTACTCTTTTTATTTGTTCTTCTACCTTTTTTCCACTATCCTTCTCGCGTGTCAAGCACTCGGTTTCTGATTCCCGTTTGGTTTTTTCTCTCCTTTTTTTGCAAGGAAAAAACTTCCAATTAATTGGAAACAAATACGAAATGAAGGCGTTAGTAGTGAAGACGTTTCATTCCCCGAAACCATATACCCTTCGACGAAACATATTTGATGAATCCATTGAGCTCTCAAAAACGAGCATATCTGGAATGACATGTGTGTCATTGAAACACATTGTACCAAAACTGAATATATATGTATTGCTTTCAGTGCGTGTTTGTCTTTATTACGAGCTGTTGTTTCTTCTTTACTCACTCAATTAAGCATAATGCTGCGACCAAGAAACCCTTTTTTCTTCCATCTATCCTCTTAGTGTGGTACTACAACCTCATTTTTATTCAAAAAATTCCGTTTTCTGCAAGAAAATGGGATGATAGTAAAGGATGATGGACTAGTGGATAGACAAAGAAGCACTGGGAAGTACGTCGACTTCCTGCCTGTCGCTTTTTCGTTGTTCCCATTTTTCAATTCTATCAATCAACTCAAAAATAATGCACTTTCCTTTCTTGGATGTCTAGAATTCAGGAACTAGAACTTTGCGGAAATTCTTGTTTTTCAGTCTAACTAAATTGAGCCCGCAAGAGTGCAAAGGGTGCAAATTTTCCAAATCAAAAATGTGATAAACACTGTAAACGCACTTTCTGTTATTGAAAATAGCAAAAGTTTAGAGTCCAACAAAAATCCGATGGTTCGTTTTTCAGAATTTTTTGTGAGTTTTATTTCTAGTTGAATTTTTAATGATAATAATTTTTTAAACATTTTGATCTTCATTATCTCGAGTTCGAAATGGAAAAATGAAAAAAAAACTATACGAAGGAACCTCAAAAACTTGAAAACATAGATTCTGATGAAAATTTCAGGATAAGTTGAAACAAATGAGACATATTCTCGACAAGTGTTTTTTAATTTTAGAATTTCTCCACCACTCAGATGTCAGATTCATTCGTAAAATTTCAACAGAAGACAGAAATTTTTTAAATGAGTAATTTCATTTAATTATATCTGTAACACAACACATTTCATGTTCGAAAAGTTACATAACCCGGTCGAACTAGCGAGCGGGTCGCAAAATCCGATTTTCGAAATTTTGGGATTTCAGAACTTCGGAATCTCGGAATTTTCCGATTTTAAAAAACTTGGGATTTCCGACTTTGGGAATATTCCGATTTTAAAATGTTCGGAATTTCGGAACTTTCGGATTTTTTACAATTCAAATATTAATGTTGAAGTTCCATTTTCACAAATACACAAAAAAACTGGTGAAAATTGACAGAAAAGTTTCGGCAGCGCAAAAGATAATTTAGTTCGAAACCCATAAGCAACTTTTTCGTGCGCGCCTTTGGCATACCGTAGTCCGAAAATCTCTAGATCCGAAAAAATAAACGGAAAAATTCCGATCAGAATTAGGATTCCGAAAAAAAGCTTTGAGAACATTCCGGTCGGTATTTCATTCTGAAAAAGATGAGAACATTCGAAATTTTCGGAATTCAGAGTTCCGTTGCGAACATTCCTTGTCCCGTTGTTAGTGGCGATCACGGAATAATTTTCGAATTTCATATTTAGAACTTATATAATCTCATGTTTGAAGATACTTTATTTGGTATTTATGAATAACTAGATATATTCAGTTTTCTATCACAACGGTTCTGATTAATGATTTTCAGCCATCCCGATCTTCTATTTTTATTTGTCTGTCAAAACCACCTGGACCGTTCTAAAATTCATGGGCAGATCAAAGTTTAGCACATTTGGACTTTGTTATTTGAGGAAGTTGTCTGTGTCTTTCTGGCAGCTATATGCTTCTCACTTATAGCAAACAATCCATTTCTCATGAACTCCCCTTATCCCTTGGCACTATTTTTCTTATTAATGTTTTACGCACGCCAGCTCGTTTTCCCTACGCGACAAGAGGTGGTGAGAGGTTACTCGAGACCTTTTTCTGTCCCCGATGCCAAACCAAAAGTATCAAGTGGCCTTTCGAATCCAATTTGATTTCGGCACTTTTTGTGCTCCACGTTTCCCCGTTTTTGCTACGGACGACCTTCTTTTAAAATAGAATGAATTTTGTTTCTTTTGTCATTCATTTTTCTTCGTTTTGAAAATTTTTCGGAGTTGTAAAAAGAAAGGAAAGGGTGATTTTCAGATAAAGAAAAGTGCAACTGAAAAAATTATACTTTTGAATCTTCACCGACGATCAAGAGAATCAATACTAGGAGATCTATTTTTCTAGTGACTTCAAGTGCACATACTATTCTATATGCGTAATCTGGTGTTTCATATAATGGACTCATTTATTTGTTGGTGGTTATATATTATATGAAGGAAAAGAACAAAATCTTCAGCCGGAATCTCCACGACGCTCATCTCTATTTTTTTCCATTTTTGTGTCCTCGATGAGCCCATCGATCTATGAGACGCTATCTATTGAAAAATATCCGGTCTTCGTTTATTCGATGAAGGGTTTTTTTTTCGAAAATTCGCGATTTTCTA